GAACAAAAATAGCATACATATTAGCAGTGGTTCTCAACCATTTGTTTCCCGGACCCCTTGTAGAAAGGCGGAGATGATGGAGGACCCCGTTTGGGGCTAGGGGAATTGAAAGGTATAGGCTATCATGATAATGATTTAATTAATGAATATAACTAATTACTAGAGTGAAGTAGACTTATCTAATTGACATACACACGACACACCCGAAAATTGGAACGTTTCTTCTCAATGTCAAGAAAGCAGACAACTAATATTGCCGTGCTTGACTGATGAGACAAGGCTTTGCGGACCCCTAGGATGCCTTCGCAGACCCTCATTTGAGAACCACTGCATTATAGAAGTGGTGGCATTGTCCCAAGTCGAGAGACCCCACAAAACGTGACATTTTGGAATATGATGTGGCTGCGATAAATAGTTAGTCTGTTTTATTGTCAGCTAGTAGCTTTTCCCGACCATCTCGACGCACCGCTAAAATCCTTAGCAGAGAGAGTACGCCTGTATCGTGGCACACAGACACACGCACGCACAAAATATATCAATGCATTTATTAATATTACCCCCCAAAAAACGATTTTGGTATGGAAAGAGTCAAGTGCGACGGGTCAAAGCGAGATATTTTTGAGAATGGCTGTTTCGAAAAGGGCCAGGTGAGAAGGGCGAAACGAGAACGGGCCCAAATGAGGAGGGTTGAAATGCGAAGGACAAAACAGGTAAGGACCAATTGCGCCAGGTCCAAGAGAGAAGATCTTTTTGAGAATTGTTGTTTTGAGAAGGGCCAAGTGAGAAGGGCGAAACGAGAACGGGCTCAAATGATAATCACCCTCCCAGGCATCCCAACTTTCGGCTGCTGTAGCTCTCGGTGGACTGTCACAGTGGAAAGCGACCTGCAACAGAACAGGCGTCTGCCACATCCACCACAGCTGCTGAGACACCACCAGGGTCGCGACCGGCGACAACATGAAACTTCTACGACATCATCAGGCGGAAATCGAGGGACCACTTTTTTTGGGCACGGTAAACACACCAGTCGGAGATGCGTTCCAGGCACCATACCGTAACCGTACGCATTGAGACCCTGGTTTTAAAGGGATACTACAACGAAATTTCGGCGCTGATTTTTTGGTCTATATCTGTTCAAAAGAGCAGTATCACATGGAACATACCAATATCTTGTTAAAAAAGTCTCGAAAAGGAATTTTAAAACGAATTAAACGATTAGCAAAGAGTACCTGGTGGATGTCGCTAACGCCTCGTTTGTAATGCTCGTCTAGGAACCTTGACAGCTAGTTACGGAGGTTGTCTCGTCTCCGGCCACGACGAGAGAAGGGGGGAAGGAGGAACTCCCCTCTTCCCGAGAATCCCTTTTGTGTGTCGCAGAAGTCGCTATTGTTCCCCTAGAAGATTATAGAAGATTAACCCGTCACTCAAAATTCGTACAAAAGCAGCCGCTTCGGTGGCTGGAACGACTAGGCCATCCTCTCGACGTCAGCCTCGCCGTAGCTTTGCTCGTCTTGAGACGACCTACGTCACGATTGCGTTGGATGTCACGTGCTCTAAGCTGGGCCTTCTCCGAGCGCTTGCCAGAGTGGGTCGTTTATAACGAAAAATACAGCCACCAGGATCAAAATACAAACGTGCAATTGTCATTTACGGATATTGTGGATCATATTCAACCTATTTTTGAACACGACGGGAATATTTCAAATTTCGTTGAAGTATCCCTTTAATTCGTACCCTCTCAGTGCATGGTTCTCGCATAATACCATGCTCAAACGGATCATGCTTCTTCGCGGACAGCATCACCAGTTTTTTTTTTTTCCATTTTAAAAGGTTATAAGAATTGAAAGATCGCAACCAGCTGCTATGTAGCCAGCTGGTTGAAGAAATTTTCGCCGTCTGTAAATATATCTACGACAGCCGAGTTGCTTGAAGTCACCGCAAATAAAAACTACAGGTTGCAGCGCGACTGCACTTGTATTCCCACCCATCATGTCGAAGAGAAAGGCGCTAGTTTCGGTATGGTGCCTGGAACGCGTCTCCGACTAATGTGTTTACCGCGGCCAAAAAAGTGGTCGCTGGATTTCTGCTTGATGACGTCATAGAAGTGTCATGCTGTCGCTGGTCGCGACCCTGGCGGCGTCCCAACAGTTGTGGTACATTTAGCAGACGCCTGTTCTGCTGCAGGTCGCTCTCCGGCTCTCCGCTGTGACAGTTCACGGAAGCTAGTGCAGCCGGAAATTGGGACGCCTGGGACACCGTGACAACAGCGACACTCGCGTTCGCTCGTGCTTTTCGCCAGCATTTCTACGGCCAACCGCCAGGATCGCGACATGCAACAGCATGACACTCCGGCTTCTGCGACGTCATTTGTTGCCACATTGGCACAACGAGGTAGAGGGGCTTAGAGTGATAAACCGGAAGTTCAAAAGTGGCACCCCCCCGGTTGCCGCCATGTTTTATGCAAATGTGACCACTCGTCACGTGACCTCCCAAGAGCTGTGACGTCACAGGTAGCATGGCAGCGCCCAGAGCTGGCAGATGCGAGTTTGTTCGGTGCGCGGTAGCTGTGATGTGCAGCTGCCTTCCGACGACTTCGGGCTTTTTCGTGCTCACTGACGCAGGTATAATGTGGAAATATAAAGGAATGAGACTTCATACCCTTTTCGCGCAAGATCGCACTGAATCATCTGGATATTAACACCTGTGAGGCAGCATCAGCCGTATCACCATACCGGTGCTCGGATTCGGGATCTGTTCAAGGATCGATAGACCTTTGAGTGCTTTTAGCACAAAAATTTTCGCATTCATTTAGCTTTGTTTGAACGTCGGAATGTCTGAGAATCGACACGAAATGTATGCGTCGGATGTAGGGCCTAGGGGAATTTGTTTCAGCCCTAGGTAACTGCATAATCACAGCAACTTTTAGCGAGGAAGCTCCTGCGACCTTTGTGTTTAGCACTTATCCACAATTTTCCTCTGCTGATATGTTGTCATGCGCCTCTCTCCAATGTGCCTATTGACTCGCCGAGACTGTAGCCTTTGCCGTTTGCCAAATTGTGATGAAATGAATTGCCAAATTGTGATGAAACGAGGTGCGACAGCCATGCAAACGATAGTGGGAGCGGACGCTGTTTGCTGCTACAGGTTTGTCATTGTTGGCTTAGTCAGCTTCGGTTTTTCTGGCAAAAGACCTAATTCCAATGGTTCTTGCTGGTAGCAACGACTGGCTTGGATTTCAGGTTCTTCGTGGTGTATTTCCGAGGTTCGTCCTTGTGGTACTCGCTCGTCTTGCGGTTTTTCTGCCGGGCTCGGGATAGGACTTGGTTCCCGGCTCGCCGGGGGTTTAAGACGCGGGATAATGTGCCACCCGTGTCTTGTTATCGGGCAACTCGGCTGAGGAGCTGCCAGGGTCCACACAGAGTGAAGAGCTATGGGTAAAGTGCGCAGCACCTCAACCAGAACATACACTGACAGCTGAGCATGGCCTGGAACTTTCCAGAATAGTAAATATTGATAGAAAATAGGACTGGAGCAAGCATCCGTGACAATATAACAAAACAGATAGAAGAGAGTCTATCATGACCACTAAAGAAGCTGCATTGCTTTAGTGGCATTCTGTCCAAATAAATCCTCTCCTTGGGGGTTTGGTGACTGCTGAGGACGAGCTGAACTGAAATGGATATGGAACCACTTTTCTGGTAATGAGCCGCTGCAGACTGTCGTCGCAAAGCGGCGTGAACGGGTGGACTGGGTAGGTAACACGCGCGATGAAATGTCCATACAGCTTGCAATGGACCTTTTGCAGAAACATCGGTTCGAGAGTAACTGGTTCCAGTATCCTCTCTCTCTTCCTTCTGGCCGAGCAGAGAGGAAAGATGGTTTCGTTGTGTCGACTTCGGGGCGGAAGATTACGCACGATGGGGACAAAGGCGAGTTTGGGGGAGCCGTATCTAGGTCACAACGTCTCAATGGGTGAAGAGGATGTAGCTGACGTTTTGGGAGCGCAACGGGTGGGAGAGGCCTCGCGCGCGCGTTGTTTTCTCGCCACTTAGCCTCGACCCAGTCGCGTGTCTAGGTGGCAGCACATATTCGCCAAGAGGTCCATTCGCGTAACGAGTGTTGATGAAACTTTGGTGTCGACGAAACGTGCGACAGACCAGCAGAATCAATACCAAGAGCAACACCATTTAGCAGGCAGCACAGCATCACCTAAAGCACGGCACAGGAAGTACCAGCTTGAAGGCAGCTCTTCGGCGCGCCGCACACCTGTGCTCCGTGAAAGTGTCGTCTACGCCGGAACAATTTGGGAAGCAGCACAGCATCATTTGGCACGGAGCGGAAACTACAAGCGTCAAGGCAGCTCTCCGATGCAGCGCACAACAAAAGTGAGCCTTCGGTCATTTGAACGAAGCGGCACCACGATTGCACACTGCCAAGCATGACTCCTGCAATTTCCGTCGCTAAACTGTGTATCCAAATATATTGCACACGCTTCACTGCAGATCTTGAAGGTTCCGATTGTCAACGTGAGCACAGAAACGTTGCCTTAAAATTTATCCTAGCGGTGCCCGAATGAATCCGAGGTCCGAGCAACGTAGGGGCGATTGTCTCTTTCGTGGCAACATCCCCGTCGGTCACCAGCGAAATGCACACCGTTCCTCCTTCTGTTCACGTTATACCTACGTCAGACACCACGCTGAACTCTGAAGTCGCTTTCGACCGGCCTCATATGACGGCTTCCGGGTCTGAAATCAACTTGCCGAGACGAACGACAACCAACAAAGCATCCGACGAGCTCCGGCCCAGCTGGGGCCAGCCGCTGCATGGGCGCTGCCATCTTTCCTGTTACGTCACGTATTTGGTTTGGTCATGCGACGAGTGGTCAAATCGGGGTCACTTTTGAGTGCAGACCGGAACCCCGGTTTTTCGCTCTAAGCCCCTCTACCTCGTTGGTTTGAGGCAACGGGTTGAGGCCAGTTTTCCCTGCGACGCTTCACGAGTGCGATGCGTTCTGGAATTCTGGAACGTGTGAAACAAACTCGCTATTAGTCAACGCAATCCAAGTCAAGCCAAAACGTGAACGCAATTAAAATGGCGCGGCCCTGCGGGTCTTGTCTGATAGCAACTTTGCCAGGATCGCCGACTTCCAAATAGCGTGATAACTTGTGAGTACAGTGTACTTGTGATTCGTATGCCACGCTCGGTATTTGACAAGAAAATAATTCGGAATTTCCACAACTTCAACGTGTTCGACGCACATGTCGGTTGTTAGTTGCACGAAGAAAAATATGAGCGGGCGTGACGCGAGGCGCCACTTTCTGAAGTTCTAGCATTTTGTCCATACAGTCGCTCGGGGTCGCGATGGATAATAAGCCGTATTCTGTCTCGCTCCCGCTGCAACATTACTTCGACAAATGTGTGGAGGAACATTCTTCAACGACTGCTGTTGTCTTCCGCGACGGTCACGTCGAAGCAAGAATGACGTATCTGCAAGTGTCGCAGTTCGCGCAGCAACTTTGCGCAAAGATCAAGCAGGCGGGCGTTTCGGAGGACACAGTGGTTGCTGTTCTCTGCAGGCCTTCTGTCTACGTTCCTTCTATAATCCTGGGGTACGTCGTTGTTTTTCTTCGAAATGTTGACAGAATTGAAGCTGTGATCCTCAACGGTACTGTGTATGCTTGTTTTCTAGGGTCTTGAAAGCTTCGTGCGCGTTCGCGTTTTTGGACATCCAGCATCAAGAGGAAAGATTCCGAAATTTGAGGAATTCAACGTCCGTCTCGTTGATCCTGGCGGAAGAAGCTTTTCATAAGAAGGTAACGACTGGTTACTCAAAATGTCATTGGTTCCCAGTAACAAAAACGCGCGAGAAAAAAAAACACATAAAAACATTGCATCTTTGCATGTTTTTTTAGACTACGGAATAAAGCTTCTGCTAACTCAAAATGGCTGCTTAAAAATTAAAAAAAAAAAAAGTGCCTAGTAAACTTAATATGTCAAATGATATGACTTCAGTTACACCAGTGTAAAATTTGACAGTTGTATTCCTTCAGAAAGAATAAACATAGGGACGGACAAAACAGCTGTTCTGTCTGTCCCTATGTTTATTATTTCTGTTTGCATTTAACTTCACCTACGTGCTCACGTCGAACTAAATGCATTCCTTCATTCCTCTTCGAAAGAGCACACAGAAATGGTCGTAAATCACCGATTTAGATCATTGTCGTGGCAACCCGCAACCCGTCCGCCATAGTGGCTGTGTCTCTTGGTTGTATTATCACAATCAATTTGAGTGTGAACACCGCTCCGCATGGCCCGCGGTACTATCAGTGCCCCCTGTCGACTGCTCTTTGAAGTACACGTGCACCTTGGTTTCGAAACATTTCGTCTCTAGCGGTCGCCGCACCACTCTGCACTTCCGGGTCGTCTGCTGCGAAAAAAGGTCGGCGGAACCGCGAAACTGTTCACCAATGACGAGCATTTTTCGCTAGCAATGTGCGCCAGCAAAACTAACTTATGTAAACATTTTTAGGTTCATCCTTTTGATTAGGACGTTTTAGTAGAATATTCCCCCAACTCCGATAACAATACCCGATACTTTGCCGACGACTTTAAGCATGCATTATATTGTTATCAGAGGTTTCAAAACAATCAACTAAGCTTGGTAAAAGCTTGGTCTGCTGGCCAAGTTGGTAATTGACATTCATATTAAAAATATCGCAAAAAAGTCTAAGCGCTTGTGCTGTGTGCTGCTTCGCCCTTTTTGTCCCGTTGTTTTTGCACTGTATTTAAAATCAACTAAGACTGCCTATTATTCACTTCGCGTGAGTTTTCTGATAGCGAAGGACCACCAACTCGCACAGACAAGAAGTTAGCACGGTGTGAGCATGGGTGATACCTTTCATCATAAAAAACAGTGCGAAAGAAATTGCAATGACTTTAAAGGACACATGCAAAGGAAAAAAAATTTTTTTTTAGACAGCTTAGATGGAAAAAGGATGTCATAAAACGATTTTACAACAAAGAAACAAAATTTTTAGAGCTATATTTACGGCGCTATACGAATTTGTAGTTGGCGCTCGCGGGAGCCGCCGCTGGTCACGTGGTAGGCCCGCGCGCCGCCGCACGCTGAGCGTTGTGCGAACGCCGCTTCAACGCGTTTCTCCACGCCGCCGTCGCCGCCGCCGCACAAGTTCGTCTGCTTCGGGGCGCCGCCGCCGTCGTCTGACCGGCGCACAGATCTATCACGTCTGCTTGTGCTTTTTCAGGAGTTTCCTTTGGGCTCTAAAAGTTACTTATTCGTCTTGGTTTTTTGTTATACTTCAAACAAAGATGAATAAGTTACTTTTAGAGGCCATAGGAAGCTTCCGAAAGAGCGCAAGCACCACGTGGTAAATAAAGACCAGTCATGTGATAAATACAGACCACTTTTCCGCGGTGCCCGTGGGCACCAACTACAAATTCGTTTTGCGCCGTAAATATAGCTCTAAAAATTTTTTTCTTCGTTGTAAAATTGTTTTATGGCGTCCTTTTTCCACCTAAGCCGTTTAAAAAAAATGTTTTTTTCCTTTGCATGTGTCCTTTAAGAAACAGACGAGACGTTCTCTTCATTTTTTTCGCGCTGTTTTCCATGACGAATTCTTACCAACTCGCCCAAATATCCATTCTTCTAAATGATACCCTTCGCTCCTTAGCACTGTAAAAGCAACATGACACAGCATAAAGTTCAGTGTCGCTGCGGGTTATCGTGCGATAACCAGACCACTACTTGGCAGCTCGAACGCATTTGTCAGGGGAATAATCTACTAAAACTTCCTAATCAAAAGGATGACCCTAAAATTATTTATACAAATATTTTTGCGGGCACACATTGCTAGCAAAAAATGGTCTTCGTCATTGGTGAACAGTTTACCGGTTTCGCCGACCGTTTTTCGCTAGCGGACGACCCGGAAGTGCAGAGTGGTGCGGCGATCGCTAGAGACACAATGTTTCGAAACCGAGGTGCACATGTACTTGGGGCACTGGGGCACTGATAGTACCGCGTGGCACGCGGAGCAGTGTTCGCAGTTATATTGATCGTGGTAGTACAGCGAAAGTTGACGGTTGGACTGCGTAAGGATGGCTTTCGGATAAGGGCTGGCTTTGCAACACAAAACCATCTTCCACCCTTTGGTTCATGATACACTTTTAGGAAAGAATTATCTTCTTGTTTTCAGCAGCAGGGTGCACACACTTACTGATTCACATCAGCATTTCAGAGCCCTCTTTTGGAAAGTGGAGACTGGAAAATGGTGGACAAACTTTGGGACAATGCCTACGTGCTGCTTACCGAGCCACACGGACCACGTGCTGACAGTGAGAAAGCTGCACCCGTTCCTGGACACAAAATTGCTTACGTCATGCAGACTTCGGGGACCACCGGGGAGCCAAAAACTGTCCAAGTACCGCACCGATGCATCGTCCCCAACATACTTCATTTACGGTATGGTATTCAGACAATAACAGTAAGGAGCAGAGGATGTTCACAGAAGCAGACAGAATTTGGGGCAACCAGGTGTGAGCACACGTCTGCTTCTGTGTCGGACATCGTCTGCGTCTTAGTACGACTTATGAATACCAATGATTGTTATCCCTCAACCCCTAAAAACTCTATATGAACCCTTTCTGTAAAAGTTCCGCAAGGAGAGGCCGGAATTGTATTTTGTGTCCCCGCAAACTTCCAGTTAAGTGAGTGGACAAACAATCACCATCGTGACACTGCTTTTCCCACTGTCCATGAAATACTTTGTCACCTATTTTCCCGGTGTTCAGCCAAAGGACCGGTTAGCAAGAAATTTCTTGGTGATTTTAGAATTCTCCTTTAAAGGGCAGCTTTGGTTCACTTTCAATATTAAGAAAACAATGCAGTTGTCTTTAGTAGCGCCTAAAAAGACCACAGGCCGGATATTTCGATCGAATTCTTCCCAAAAGTTGATGAAACTGCGATGCGCAAAATTACCAAATTCTTCTAGTCCTAGCGGGCGAGACTGCGTGGCCACGAGCGCAGTCAGTCCTCGGTGAGATTTTAATTTTCCTTGTTTTGAACTTTTTCAAGCAAAGTTTAAAGGCATAGCTAGCAGCATGCTTATCGTTGGCCAGTTGATTCGCGGAACAGGCATGCGCTTGTGTGCTTTCGTGCCAACATGCGTCAACGCCGGCAGCATCTGTCGCATGTGAGGGAGCCGGTTTGTGACGTTAAGCATTGTATGTGTCTACAAACTTGTCGTGACATATTTACGTGTGGTTCTTCTAACGTCACTTTCTGCGAATGTTTTCAAACAAGCCCTTGGGAAAACTTGCCTTTTTCAGCGCATGCTGCTGCCACAGTATTGTAGGCGTCGTTAGTTGAAGCAGACTGCCAATCGTAGCAGACAACACTTTCACCCTTGCACCGAGCTGTGTCCGGCCGCCTGGTACGTGGCGTCATTATTTGTTCCTTGTGCTTGGAGCATAATGATGCCACAGGAGCAATGTTGCCCGCCGCAGGCAAGGTTTCAGACCTTGCACAAAAAATATTTGTTTTTTTAGAAAGAAATTATATAGAACTGTTTATTGCTACCTCAGGATATATAGTGAACCATTTACTCAATTTTGTTTTAATTTAGTGGAGTTGCCCTTTAAGGGGATGATTAATCACCTGTTGTATCTTAAATAGCACAGCATAAAGACCTGGTTAGATCTACAGGTTTGTAATCTCTCTAGCCCCGACATACACTTAGCGCTTTCCCCTTTTGCCTGCCTCCTTCTTTCCTATACCCTCTCCCCTTTTTACCTTGCTGGAACTTGACTCCCCCTCACAATTTAGGTTCTTGACCATATTTCAGGTGCAGTACTGAAGCTTACCTTTTGTAGACATCTTTCTCATAGCTGTTGCAGAGCTTTAGCACAATTGGGTTAGCTTTTCACACTTTAGCAGCTCATGAGAGCCAAACTTGCGTGCTTCATAACTCCGTTTTAGTTTTAATTTCATGATGGGGGGGTACAAAACAACATTCCGGCTGTGAGTTCTTCATTCGTTGTAGTGCATCTTGTAGTTGTTAGTCACCAGGAAAATGCACCCTTAAAGCTGTATCATCTCCCCTTTTTCAAAGGCTAAGCCCCTGTTTGCAAAGAACCGGTGGATTTCTGAAGGTCGTAGAAAAAGCAAGGCATCCGTTGCTATGACTAGCAGACAAGGCCGGAGATTGCCGCTGCACCCTCTGCTCAAGGAGTAGACAAACTTCCTCACTCTGATTAGAGGATAAAGTGGGTCTACGCTCTATGTCCTCTAATCAGAGCTCGGTGCTGCGACGTCATTGTGTGTCTGTGCAATAGCAGACAAACTTACTCGCCGTATATGAACCAAGCGAGCAAGTGTCTTCTAATAATATGTCATTTATGGCAAGTAGACTGAAGGGGTGTCCAAACAGGACACTACAAAACCCGCGACTCCGGCAAATCGTGCCGCGATCCGCTTCCGGCTGTCGGAGGGAAATTTCCCTCCGTCAATTCTTCCCGGAGGGAAACTTCCCTCCCTCAAATCTCCCCCTCGCTTCCTCCACGGCGGCCTTGCTCTGCTTATCACGTGGGTCTGGAGAGCCACTCACACGCTCTGTTGGCTGTCGGTCAATTGCTCAAGGCCTCCGCTCACAATACGGAACCGCATCGGACGCCATCACGACGAAAGTGAATCTCGACAAAGAAAGCAGATCCGAGGCGGGCGAAACGCACCCTTCGACGCAGGAATGTCCCAAAGCCGGACCTCCTTGGCCTTCGAGCCGAGGCAACGGCGGTACGCGAGGGCGTTGGCGAGGTGAGACAGACGCAGGTGGCGTGTGACGTCAATCTGAAGAGGAGAGCAGTCGTGGTCGTAAAAATTTTCACGACTCCGACAGACCGTAAAAATAGAAGCGTCCGCTTCAATTTTCACGATTTGTCGGAGTCGCGGGTTTTGTAGTGTCCTGTTTGGACACCCCTTTAAAGGTTTGCTCTGGCGAGTTTTTTAGCTACCCCAACTAACCACATTTTCTGAATCCCCGGCCTTCACCCTTCCGATACGCTCTTTAGTATCGCAAAATTCATATTAGTTATTGTAAAATCGCCAACTGAAAATGATACGAAAAACAAGATTCAAATATACCCGCACTTTTCAGTGACGTGACGTCAGTGGCATTCAAGCTTGCTAATCAAGCAAGTAGTAAAAAAATAGACTATACCAAGCATTTGTTCTGTGCTGGTGGGTGGGTATTGGAGCAAGCTTCCAAAGCATTCATTTGACACCATGAAACTGCTTGGAATCAGTTGAAAATACATTGAATAACTGAAGAAATAGGATACTATATCAGTGTTTATGTGTTTAGCATATTTTCAGGTGAATCGGAGTCCATGAAGAGATCCCCAGATTACTCCTTTAAGGCCCATTCACATAATTGCATTTGACTAGGATTGACTGAGACAAGACCGGTTTTTAAGCCTCTTGTGATGGCTTACGACCGGCTTGGCGGCAGCTCATCGTGTCGTAAGCCGTCGGAAGAGGCTTAAAAACCGGTCTTGTTTTAGTATATCGTAGTCGGTCGCAGGCCTGTGAGTAAGCTTTTATGTGTGTACTGACTAGTGTTTTCTCCCCACCCAATCCAGAAAAATATTCGCAGTTTCTCCGAGAGACGTTGTCTTCCAAGCTGCCCCGTTTACGTTCGACCCTTCCGTCGTGGAGGTATTCCTCGCCCTGACTGCCGGCGCAACTTTAGTGATGACTTCCGAGGCGGTGAAGCGGATTCCTCGAGCAGTCGTCCAGCTTCTAGTTGAGAGTAAAGTCACCGTCGTTCAGGTAAGGACTGTTAATGCTTGTGACAAGTCTTGCGACTGATATTCTGTTTTTTTGCGCAGCTGATTTATCTTAGAGTCACCTAATAGCCTATGCTCAGACGACTGGCAACAATGATCTTTATGACCAAAACTGCTGAAGTGTCGCTTCTCCGCAACGTTGCTTCTTTAGCGGCTCTAGTTTTTCTGCTTTCGAAGAGCAGTAATTTCGGCGACCTGTGGCACGTTTGGCTTTTGCGTGGATCGATGTCGACCACGTCGGTGCTTTTAGATTGGCAATATGGCTGCTGCGCTTTTGTCAAAGTCACTTGGCCATGTCTGTTACGCTCACAGTTCTCTGGTGCATGACGGACAATGCAAGATGATACTTTTAGATGACTGTCAAGTTAGTCGAAATCGGATAGGCGTTTGAGGAGACCCGGGTATTAAACGCCGTGTTTGTTCACTTGGCTTGTCTGCAGAAGACACTTTTGGCCACTACAGCAAACGTTGAGAGCTGAGACAGTAAAGGGACCACTTTCTGACTACTTCTGTGCTCTGTTTCGCCTTGCAATGGACTGCAGTGGACCCTAAAGGTCATCCCAACTAGTTCAACGCCGTGAATGTATCACGTGACCATGTGCCCCGCGCGTCGCTGCACTTGTTTCGAAAGTCGTGCGAGGCTTGTACGGCGTTGGATTGGCTCCAGTAGCCCGTAACGTCTGCTGCTGTTCATCGTAAGGAGAAACGTAGTGTTGTTTGCCTTCAACATGCAGGCAGTTGTGTGCCAAATTATTTTACATGCGTGTGCACACCAAGTTTGGCGAATCGAAGTCTCATTTGGGTCAGTAAACAGGCATGTCGACTAGTATAACCAGACTTGACTCTACTTTTCGAATTACTTACCACTCGTATGTTCACAACGCGCATCAGTCGTCTCGACAGATTTTGTAATCTCAGGTTGATTGCGTATTAGTCGGGCCGGGGCGAGTCAACAACAAAGTTTATTCAGTGAGCAGTTAGTAATATAGGCCAACGTTGCCAGTACAGATACTAGGCATGTGGCTTATGTAATTGGGCAGGAAAGATAACAGTGCGGTTGACGTGCAACATGGGCGTGACTTGCATGATACAGAGTGCACCACCTAACCCACAGTTTGACACAGTGTTCGCTCTTCCTCATTAAAAGGCAACGCCTAGCTTCTTTAGCCGTCTCGGCGCAGAACGAGTCAAGGAATCGTTGCTTTCGAGGGGTGCGACGCTGCGAGTGCTCGCTTTCGGAGGTGAAGCGTGCCCTTCGGTCGCCCAACTTCGGAGCTGGAGCGAGCATGGAAACTGTACGGAATTCTACAACTTGTACGGCGTCACCGAAGTCTCGTGTTGGGCAACATGTCAGAGAATTCGCCTCACAGACTCAAGGTGAGACATTGAATGTTTTGTAATTAGAAAGATACTAATAAGACTCTATTCAGACTTTTAGTCTCAGCTGATGAAGTGGGCTGATGCCAGCTGATGTGGCTCCTGCAGCCACACAAGTGCTCGTCAAAGAGTGAGAAGGAAAAAAAAGTGATAGAAACTTAAAAAAGGCTTGAGCAACTAGTCGCAATCACAGAGCATTGGCGAAAGTATCAACACTAGTCATATAATGTTCTGGTGAGGAAAAGAACAACTGACCATCAGTGCATGCAGGCACCCATCGGTACTTGTAGGCTGTTAAAGAATTTGTGCCTCATACAATATTTATTCAATAGAGACACAAGAGAAATCATTTTTACAATAATAACCACAGGAAATTAACTGGGGTCCAACAAACAGTCATCTTTTACATTCTTTTTAAAACTTTCAATAGATGTACCATTCATAATCATTTGTAATAAAAAAGTATGGTTGTGAAAATAAATGTTTACTAGTTTTAGTTATATCCTATACCACTTCGAGAGGAGTTGTACTGCAGGGACGCCTCTGAACACATACAAAATTAGACTTTTGAACTTGGTTCTCAAAAGCACCAGTTTGCAAACCGAAAATGCACGAGAACTTCTTGTAAAACAAGTTTTTTTCTCATGCTTTCGAAGCAGTACTACAGGGTTTGTGCCACCTGGGAATGGCCCTTGACTATTCCTTACCATGCTCGTTGGTTGGGCTGGAAGAACACCACTGTTTGGATTTTTCTTAACAATCTTTTTTACAGTGGAGCTGTTAAGGGCTAGGTTCCCCAGGATCGTGTCTTCGTGTATGTCGACACAAACCTACCCGGAAAGCTACCGCCATCTATAAGCGACGGCGGCTAGCACACAACCAGTATGGTTTCCGCCGTTGCTCGTGGATGGCGCCAACCTTTCCAGCTATAATAGAAGAATGGATAGTTGAGTGCGTTGGTGTGAATTCATCGTAGAAAACAGCGCGAAAAACAGACGACGACAAAGAAGAAGCACACAGTGTATCGAGTACAGCTCCGCATGGTCTTCCTTCTTCACGAGAGTGGAAAGGCTGAACGTTTTTTTAGCAGTGTTTCTGACCCACACAAACACAGCATCCTCTCACCTTGGTTCGCCTCATGTGCAGCGATGTTTTCCTGGGCGATGCTCTGGACGGAACGGTTCTGCAGGTGCGGAATGAATCTGGAGGCATCGTCGACGAGGGAGAGGGAACGCTTTTTATCGGTAAGGTTCATTTTTATATTTGTTTTTAAAAACCTCGCTGGTCACATGGTTGGGGCATTGCAATATTTGACTCCCCGACTGGTTACGCAGCTGATGAAATGTTTCTGGCGAAACGCTCCAATGTTTCAATATAGTTTTACAGTTTTCACTATGCAGTAGATGCTAAACCTGGAAGAAAATGTTTCCACCCCCTAAGTCTCTTTTCTTATTTTTTACAATGCCGAAAATCTATAGGGTGTCAGAAATTGCAAGGCCGGCTCTAAAATTGTTTAGAAGAGTCAGCGTCGAAACGTAGCGATCTCAAACTTTTGGCGAAGATGTATTTTACTTCACAAACTTCCAAAATAAGACCAACGAACTTGCCAGTGTCAACAGTGGACGTCGATGCAGGCGACCGAGTTAGGGAGAATTAGGCTCGTGGTGCCACCTTACGATAGGCGCAGCAAGCAGACTATTGTTTCAACTGAATGCGTCGTCTGCTTGCTGCGCCTGTCGGGAGGTGGCACCGCAAGCACAACCCCGACCTAGGGAGCCAGTACAGTGGAATCTTGTCAATTCAGACTCTCTTAACTCAAACTCGCAGATAATTCAAACTAACATGCAGGTCTCGGCCTATGTGTTTTTAGGAAGGAAACTCCCGGTAATTCAAACTTTGCATTATTCAAACAAAGTTCTGGTCCCCCTTGGGTTCAAATTAATAAAATTCCATTGTATTGCAAAGAGCCTCCTACTGCTTGATCGGAATCACATGGTTCATAGGCTGCGTTTGCAATACGAGCTGTGAAGAGGTGGCAAAAGTGTCGATCGTCTGCAAACGTCCTGACCTTTCTGTCTGCTTTCCCCCTTGCCGCGCTACATTTTAATGGGTGCGCACTTGCAATCAATATCCGCAGTAGGCGTCCGCCATCAAATTATGAACGCTCCCAACAGTTTGAGTTGGACCCTTTATTCAATCTAGGCTCGCTGCCCCGGCTACCTCGGTTGTCTGTGCCAATGTCGGTCACTGACCCTGGCAAGTTCGCCCATTTTATTTTTCACACGAAGGGAGCTGTGCCTTGAAATTTCACAGGGTAAAATGCACCACTAAGTTACGACTTTGGTGAAAATTTTAAATTGCTACATGCAGGTGCCAATTTTTTCCTGGTTGATTTTAGAGCTAGCCTCAGGAGTTCTAACATCCTATACTTACTTTAACTGTCAGCTATTGCTCCTTCCTTTATTCAATTTGCAATGTTTCATTTCGACAGGTGGGACCGACCGGCGGTGTCTTGTGGGTGAGGAGACGTGGCGGCAGGTTGGGCAGTGCCAAATGCGGAACTCGGGCGACCTCGTCCGCAAGTCTGGCGGAAACCTGACGTTCCTCGGAAGGCGCGATTCAATCTTCAAGTACAACGGTCGCAAGGTCAACCCCGCTCTTCTGTCGCAGAAGCTGCTCGACTCGGCGGTCGTTGAAAGCTGCTGCGCCCACTTTTCTAAGTCGAAAGGGACCCTCTTATTCTTTGTTACACTGCTTTCAAATGGCAACGCCGAAGAAACGCTGACTTTGCTGAAAACTGACCTGGAGAGAGAGTGCTCGTGTCCTTTACGGATCATTGTGGTACATCACGGCCTGCCTGTAACAAGCCACGGTGTGTTGCCGCTTCTCGACTGCCAGATTTTTAGGCACCTTTTCGGTTGCGCAGATTTGGAAGTTGTCTGCGTTATGAGCACACCAGTTTTGAAAGAGAGGTTGAGCATGATTTTATCTTTCTTCGTTCCACAGGCAAACTAGACATGAAAGCGCTGCTGAGGTATGCAAGGAAACGAAGACGGACGGGGCAGACAAAGCCAGATGGATCCGTCGATTCCGTCGCTTGTAGCCGGCTTCTTGCAACACTGTGGAACGTAAGGAGTTCTTTGTGAGTTCTCATAGAATGCTTGCATGTGGTTTTCATTGACCTGACCTACCACATTGGTATTGTGTAGTTCCCTCTTGCGAGTTTCCTTTCGTCTTCTGGTCAAAAACTGAACCGAAATTTCGAGCTCAGAAAATAAGACTGGACAGATAGGCGGGATGCTGCAAAACCCAAGAACATCGCTCGTACAGCGATATCTGTAACGGATCACCATATTTTTGGAAAAGAAGTGTGCGATTGAAAACGACCGACGAGGCCGGCTACACAAGTCACGTCACAATTTTCATTCCCTCTCCTACTTGCTACGTCCCGTCAAGCTGGTGAACTGCAGCGAGGAGGATCGAAGCGAGGTTGTTTCCCCTCATTCTCAAATGTTCGAGGAGGACAATGACGTCATAGCCCTCGCTTGATTGCGCCCTTCTTTTCCAAAAGTATGGCCATCTGTCTGAAATATCGATGTATGACTGATGTCTTGAAGTTCGTAGCTTCTCGTTCAACGCTTCTGCGGCCTTTTTTTTTGCGAAATCCAAATTTCGGTTCAGTATCCCTTTAACGGACACATTCAGCGTGTTATTCCAACGCTTCAACTTTGAAGGCCGACCTACAAGATCGTCTTCTGCCAGGCAGAAAACCAGTTCCCAGTTTCCTTCTCTTCATTCCCTCTTGCACTCTTCTCTCCTCCTCTCCTCACAGGAGCATGTCTCTGAGCTACTCTCTGCAGAAGGACGGTGGCTCTCCCCAGAGGTAGACTTGGGATTTTGCCGCCCTAGACAGCTTTTAACAGTACCGCCCCCCCCTCCCCTCCCCTCCCCTCCCCTCCCCTCCCCTCCCCTCCCTTCCCTCCCCTCCCCTCCTCCGGCCCGCCCGCCCGCTGCCCATGGTCGGTGACCATGGGGAGGGGTTGAGTAGCTAAGTTTGGAGTTAAAAATTTCAAAAGTAGCCAGATTCGGAGGAGCTACAATACCTAAAATAACCAAATTCAGAGCTAGATTAAAGAAAAGAAAAAAAGCGGCAATTAATTTGGGGGCAGCTACAAATTGGCCGCCCCCCAAAATTCTGCCGCCCTAGTTAGGCAACTGCCACTCTGCCTATTGGTAAAGTCCGCCCCTGGGTCCCCCTCTTTCTCGAATAGAAAGGAGAAATTGAGGGAAAGGTTCCTCCTTTCTGCCTGATGGTCGTCCTTTAAGCACTGATTTGGTTCGAAGGGTGTTCGATACGTGGGGCATGACTCCAGTTGGAAGTACTCGCGACTCGTATAGAGCGTACGAAAAGCGTGAAAATCTCGAATGGTTCATGTTAATCTCTTCTACTCTGCAGAGTGTGCTTTACGGAAAACTCTAAAACTTTTCGCAGGAGCTCACCGCAAGCGACAAGGGCAGCCCGATTTCTCCGCAGTCCTCCTTCATCTTCAGCGGCGGCAGTTCGCTGGGAGCCGTCCGCATTTCCCAGGAAATGGAGCTTACACTCGATCGCCGCTTGCCACTTCTCGTGGACAAGCTTCTTAACGGGACGTTTTCAGACGTTGCGGCTTACCTGAAGCAAACAGCCACGGCACAAGAAACCGCCGAGCGCAGTCTAGAAGGGCCCAAACTTCCCTCAGAGCGGGTGACTGCTTGCAACAACTCGACAACCGTGATGTCTCGGTCTGGTTCAGTGAGAACTGCCCCTTGTTTCTCGTGTGTTTCGAGACTTGACTCCTGGCACCACTGCGTGTGCGCCAAAAACTGCGGTCGAGCGCAACGTCTGAGCACCGGTGAAAGTGCGGCGAAGTTCGCACTCGAATGGAAGCATGATCTTGCCAAGTGCGTCGATGCGTCTCCGCTCATTGTGAGTTATGAAGGGTGAGTGATCACTGCTGCACGCGATCCACTCCAGATTAGCAGTCACACTGCGCTGGCTAGAATTCCTCGTTTACGGCACGAGCAAGTATCGCCATACCTCAAAGGCATATTGACCTCGCACTGTTTGAACGTTGAACATTTAATTTGCTTTTGCTTTTGAATCTCATTCGCCATCTTTGTTTCTTGCAAAACTTACAACAAAAGTATTACGTGCTATGTACGTATTCTAAAACGATTGCCCGTAGATCGGAAATGAACCCTTAAAGTGCCTTGGAAGAGCTAAGCTCGTCGGCCGCTTTTTGGCTAAAAATGCCATGGACGAGCTAAGTTCGTCCAGTGGTTTTTTCGGTAGCCCTTGATTCCGTAGCTCGTCCAGTAGTTTGCGGCGTTGATCATAGATGGCAGCACTCGTCCTAGTTCGCTCATTTGTTTTTTTGTCGCCGGTGATTTCTGAGTAATAAACTTTTGAAATTTTATCTGTATTATTAGAGGAATAGAGCTTCTATATAAAAAAAATATATGGCACTTTTAGGTTACTTTCTGAAAAAAAAAAAAAAAAAAAGGGGTACTTAAGGGGTGAAGAAGCTGTCATGGGTGTGCCATGTTTGGCGTGCTGACTTTGTCAATAGAGCTGCGCAAATATTAAATTTCTGACTTCAAATTGAATATCAATGTTAAAATTTGACTGCAAATAGAGTATTGATGTTTTTTCAATATTATTTTTTTATATATTTATTGGCAATTGGGCATGGGTTCTCCTAGAAATAATGGCTGGAAATCTTTCTCTAGAAAGCATACTCATCAATAGAAACAGTTTTATTGCATGGAAAACATCTCACATAACTCGAATTAAGAAAACAAATGCCCTAATAAGTTGTGTAACATGGCAAGCAAAGCAGTGACTAGCCGTCTTATTTTAATATAGCATGATGTTATCTTTCCTGTTACTCTCCTTTAAAATTAAGGGTTTAGCTAAAGTTACAACCAAAGAAGCCTCATTTACAATTGTGAGCGAAATTTCCAAGACCATTAAACCGAATGAGATGCTCAGAGAGGTTGTGTTTCTCCTAGCACACCGGTGCAAAGCGCTGAAGCTTGACATACGTGCCGGTGCGAAGCAGTAAGGTGGACACCGGTGCGCTGGTGCACAACGGTGAGGTCTGTTGCGACAAATTGGAGAGTTCTCAAGACATTATTCATAACTTTCGAATGTTCAAAAACTTGAATACTTTGAACAGCAGAAGTGCGCTGCAAGTCAAATCGAACAGCAGACACTATTTGTAAAGTATTAAAAGTTCCAAATATTCAAGTACTTCTACTTTTCAAGCAACTTTTTTTTATAATCTTTGCATTTGACTGCAGCGCAGCAGTCTCTACAAGCTTTGCGCTAAGTCAGGGTTGTCTGCTTGGTCAGAACTAGCAAAGAACAAAAGAACGAGTAGAAACGGATGTTTGTGTCCATGATATATTTCTTCGCAGCCTCACAACCACATTATTAACGGGCCCTTTACGTTTTAGGGTAAATCTGTCTCATTGCTGTTTCAGCGGAGACTGCGTGGCGCTCGTGGGATCTCATTCGGGTCGCTTCTGCGCTGTCAACGTTTTCTCTGGAAGCTGCTGTTGGGAGCTTCAGGTACCGGACAGGATAGAGTCCTCTGCCTGCCTTTCAAAGTGTGGCAGCTACGTCGCATTCGGTGAGAGTCCTCGACATTCTGCAGAAGTTTCGGGCCTTCCATGCCCGATTTTGCGCTCTAGCCGCCATTTCTTGGTGCCGCCTTATTTTTATCCGAATTGTGTAGATTCATGCCAATGTCAGAAGGCAGCTCTGAGCTGTACAGTTTTTACAGCAGAGCTATTAAGGGCTAGTTTCCCCAGGATTGTGTCCGGAACCAAACAAATGTCGACACCCATGGCCGACACAACACTCTGGTGGCTGCCGTCGCTCATAGATGGCAGTAGCTGTCCAGAGTGTTGTGCTTGCCGGTTGTCTGCTTGCCGCTGTCACTTATAGACCGCGTCAACGTTTCTTCGGAGGAACAAAAGCGGGAACGGAACGAGCGACGATGTGCGCAGCAGCGCGAATGGTTTCGCAACCGCTGCGAGGTCCCTATCGCCTAAAGTTACACTGCGTCAAGCGCTTCAGTTTCCCTCCCAAAAGAAGAGCAGATAGCTCGCCTGGAAAGCCACCGCCGAGAACAGAAGCTATAGCCCCGCTGCTCTTCCTTCTTTACCAGGGTGGAAAGGCTAAAAGTTTTTTAATACCATTCATGTAAAATATTTAAAAATTTTGTGGAAACCTGTTTTTTTGTCTTGGTTTTTCAGTTCTCAACACTCAACTAAAATCTTTGTGACTGACAGCTTGGGAACGACTTGGCGGTTATCTTCGTTCTCTTAGGTTCCTGGTCTTCAGCAAGCGCCCGTCACCTTCCACCATGCTTTAATTGAGCGTGCACGCTCGGAGCTCACGAGACATCGAAGTGTTATCGATCGATAGCAGAAAGCTTGCGCTAGAAGCCCCACAACTAAAAGCTTTCCCTGCCTCTCTCATCCTGTCTGTGGCTATGCGGAGCGCAAGTTCGTCTGCTTCTTGCGTAGGGGTTGCTATGACGTCAGAACGCCGAGCTCCAATTGGCTCTGATTGGTGGGATGGTCCGTAGACCTCAAGGCAGCCAGCATTGAGGTCTACCCACTATCCTTTCATCAGAGCCAGCCAGAGCTCAGCGTTTTGACGTCACTGTAACCCCTGCGCAAGAAGCAGATGAACTTGCGCTCTGCATAGCTGTTTCACTAAGCAGCTATGCAGAGCGCAAGTTTGTCTGCTTCTTTAAAACCATGATTAAACAGCTAGTTGAGTGTTTTAAATATTGGACTTGCTGTGCAATAGATGCCAATGAGTGGTTGCACAAGGGTAAGAAAGTAAAGAAGGTGTTATCGTCTAATTGGACAGGCCAATGTAGTGCTCACCATTGAATCAATGAGAACGAATGATATGCTTATACTCCAAAAGCGTTTTGCTCCAAAATGGACTTTTGGCTGCTCCAGAAGGCGTTCCCAAACAACTCGGACCATTCACATTGTCGATGCATAGTTGTTGTGGGAAATCACGCCTTGCATAGCTGCGGGGAGTCTGTCTTCTTGATAATGCACTCACAGTTTCTTTAAATCATTGCATATTCGGTGTTTTGAGTGGCCACAAAAATTACATTTTATGGATTTTGTTAGTTACTTTCTACAATGAAAGTGCTCCTAGATGGCCTAGAACTCAAAATATATTTGGGATCCTGCGAGTGTGTATACCTTTGCTGGGTAAAGGGGCCCTCTTGGATTCTGTTTTCAGTAAAAAATGTTGGTGAGCATACATGTCGTAACACTTCATTAAAATGACGCTTTCGTAGAGTACCTCATAGCCACAACTAAAATTATACAAACTTGTTAACAATGTAAAAACCACAGCAGGCACATTGTTTTAGTTATTATTCTTGTTTGCTTTGAGTGGCCCTTCAGTTCCAGACAATTTATGAAACAATGCTTCACAGGGTGTTATGACCACAACATCTACTGCATCGAGGTCTCAAGCGGAGCGCAGCGTTGGACCTTTGGGACCGACGGCGAGGTCAAGTGCTCGCCCGCACTCAACAAGACCGACAGCTCTCTTCTGTGTGGTTCGCACGACAGGCACCTCTACTGCATCAATTTCGAGGTAAATATTTGCGTCCCTTTCCCGTTCGCAAGAGCTGTCGCGTGTGGGTGACCGTTGGCGACCGTGTCTTTTTTGTTGCAGACCGGAGCGTTACTCTGGAAGCTACGTCCATCTGACGGAAGCATCTTTGCGTCTCCAGCAGTTTCGTATTCACCAAACCAGGTGCTGTCAGGTTTACAACATATGATAATGAGCCAGCTTGAAGGGACACTGACAGGGTATTTACACTCACCAAGGTTTTTATTTGTACATGACATAGGAGAGCCCAGCTGCCCAGAATTTCATTGTTTTTTTTTTTAGAATGCTTGGAGTCCGTAGATTGAGGTATCACCATAAATAGACAATCTTAGAATCCCCTGGAGTGCACCTTTAGAGGGGTACAAAAATTGAAATATTCAAATTTCGTTCGGAAATGAGTTAAGCATGACGGAAAATAACTGTAAATGATAATCACACATTTATATTTTGAACGCCTGGCTATATTTTTTGTTCCAAACGGTGCACTCGAGCAAGCGCTCGAAGAGACACGAACGGAGAGCACGATGCGTCATGGGATATCCGGCACGAACAAAAACATTGGGGCAAAGCTCTGGTGGTGCTGATGATACTGATTTTATTGTTCATAGGTAGTGCTGATGGTGCTGATTTTTTTTTTATTGCTCATATGTAGTGCTGAGTTCCGGGTTGCGTTTCGACTTCATCAGCGAGGGTTGGTCGGATTGGCTTATCGTAAAGTCAGACAAATAAGGAGATGTGGTGCTCACTGTCAAGTCGATTAAAAAAATTATATTTTCGATGCGAGCTGCTAGATTTTCAAAATTTAGAACTTTCTCGATGGTACTGGAACGGTTCAGACGCTGAAAATTTCCTCACGATTGCGTCATTAAACACTTCCATTACTGGTGATGACATTAGTACTTTGTTTCATCTTAGGACGGACTACAGCGGACACTATGAGCCACCACAGCCAATCCAGCGCCGTGAACCTATGACGTGGCCTTGTGCCCCATGTGTGTCACTGCACCCCTCTTGAAGGTCATGTGATAGTCAGACGGCATTGGAACCAATTGGAATGGCTTTGGTGGCTTGTAGCATCCTCCACGGTTCATCATAGGCTTTATTATAAGCTGTACCAGAGTAGCATAGTTTGATTTTCTGGAAGCCCAGGTGCATGTTTGTAGGTGTAGCTCTTTCAGGTAACTGTTTTCTTTATACGTCACTGAGGCTTCCTTTCGAATTGGCATGCAGGTGTATGCAGCATCGCTCGTTGGGACCGTGGTCTGCGTAGGTCCGGTGAGTAAGCTTCCACAACATTTCAGGAGGCCATGTTCCAAAGAAATTAGCTTTCGAAATGCTTAAAAAGTGACTACTGTATTTCGTTTGGTATCTATCTAAAATATTTTAAATGTTGCAGAGTAATGGGAAGATACTCTGGAAGCGAAACGTTGGCAAACCTGTCTTCGCGTCTCCCGCCGCGTCTCTGCGTGGCCTGTGCATCTGTTCCGTGGAGGGCAAAGTCTACCTCATGAACCTCTCCGATGGGAGCACGGTAATAACAGCCAAGACCTTCGTATTATTTGGTTACCACTTGGGGTTCCTTGTTTTCAAAGTTAATTTTTCTTTGAAAACCTAATATTGACAGGTACGTTTATATCCGAGTGAAGTTCTCGTACCAACAATTTGTGGATCTTAGAATCCTTGGAGGTGCACCGAAGAAACCGAAAAATCTTTTTTTAGTGCACCTCCAGGTCCGAGTTTACCATGCTAATCAAGAACCCGTTCTCAATTCAATTTTATTAATTTCTTTTTATTTCTTTTTCATTTCACGAAGTTATGGGTTGCATCAACCGACGGGCCAATCTTCTCGTCGCCCGTGTTCGTCGACGGCGAGCGGCCCTCGATCGTGATTGGCTGTCACGACAGTCACGTGTACCTTATCTCCGCTCCGGACGGGAGTCTTCGATGGCGTCTGCGCCTGGAATCTCGTGTCTACGCCACCGTCTTCCACATCTCAGAAGCCCAAACGCTCGTCGCCGTCGGCACCGACGGAACGCTCCACCTCGTCGACGCCGGAGAAGGGAAGCCCTCGAGTTCGTATCGCTTCGAGGGCGACGTGTTTTCTTCGCCCGTCGCGTTCAACAACAGGGTCGTCGTCGGTTGCAGGGACAACTTTGTTTACTGCCTCGCTCTCAGCGGTAGTCGTTGACGGGGTGGTAACGGCGGGAAGAGTTTAAGTTTTCTTGCCTTCAGTGGAAGCTCGCCGGCTTCGATGTCTCGGGAGCCTCGAGCATGGACGTGCAGCCAAAGCACAGTGCAGGGCAGCAAGCGCATGCTGGAGGCCAGGTACCTGAAGGAGTTGCTCTGCCGTCTTCACCCTGCCAGTGTCTATGTACGTCCGACAGGTTTGGTACTTAGCTTTTATGTAGCGGGTCTTAGGGAGGAAAGAGAGTCATGTCTTTCTCATCGCCAAACGTTTCTAGTCTCCGTCCAAACTCTGTTTCACCTTGTGTTGTACCGCAGGAAAGGCTACAAGCGCGAGCTCCTTGCTTTAGGGCACATCTCGGCGGCACAAGTTCTCGTGCGTTAAGAGCAGCTCCCAACGCTATGAGCCTGCGCTGTGGTACAACATAAGGTGAAATGGAGTTAGTGATGCGGACTAGATGTAAGAGTTTCTGAACTTGCCGTTATCTATATTGCTATATTTATTGCTTTCAATTCAATTTTTATGCGAGGTAGCAAAACATGTCCACACGCCGGAACAGACCTTTATTTTGCAAAATACTTTCTTATTTTTGTCAAAAAATAGCACCCGAGAGGACGTGGAACAGTGCTTTCCCCGACTGTGCGTAGACGCAACTTTGACGATCACATTAATATAGAATATATCTCTACAACCTAAAACTTTTTTATGTATAAAGCACACCAGCTGATCTACTTGATTTAGTGGCATTTATTTTATTTAAGATTTCATCTTGAGTCAAATAAAACGACAAATTTGACCTCTTGCGCAACTCTTTTTTTTTTGTATTTAGGCAATTTTCGGCGATTTTTTCTACACATCTTAGATTTAAGTTTTTGAGCTGAAACATTTTGGTACAAAGTATTTCATGCTCTGTTCACTTTTAATAAAAAAAAAAGGTAGCACTCAACTATTGTTTCTTCTTTTTTTTTTTTTTCATTGCACTTGGAATTTTAATGGGGTGGTGCAACGATTTTCGGACTTCGGTCAAAGATTTCTGGAAGTTGCCCCCTGACACTTCTGAAGTAAAGAACAGAAAACCGATTTCGCCTGCGTGTCCTTAATTGTTGCGTAAAAAAAAGATAAAGATTGGCATTTCGGGCACCCCTCAACTCACTCCCAGCCTTCAGGGTCACACCTGGTCGCACTCCCAGTGACGTCATTCGGAGTGCCGTGTAGCTTCCCGTGTGCTATCTCGGAGGACGCTTCCCCTCCCTCTCTCTGCGTACATTAGCGGGTGTTATGCTGCAGCTTAGAGCCGAGCGAGGTCACGTAATCTTTCCGCCGTAGTTCCTTCGGCTGCCACTTGGGGCTGCAGGTGGGGGAAAAAGCTCGACTTTTGCTTTGCGATTATGCAGGGGAATCGCGACATTTTTAATGAACGAAGTGTTTTCTCTATCCTCTGGGACACGATAAACAACGTAAAAATGACGAGATGCAAATTCTTCTAATCATAAAATCGTTGCACCGCCCCTTTAAGAAATGCTGACACCCACTCCGAAAAAACTTTTCTTAATCTTTTGTCGGGCGATTTATTATGTCGGAAGAGTACCCAATCAATATTTTGCTACAGGGTCGCATATATTTTAATAAAGTAAAAATACAACTGCTCGAAACCGAAGCTGGACTGGGGAAGTAGAAAAAATGTAGAAAAGGAGGGAGTTGCCGGAAGTCATGTAACTACACCCGACCACGTTTTCTTTTTTTTTTTTTCCCCTTCCCGTTTTTGGTTGTACGAAGCAGACGAAAGATGTGCATGTCGCACGTAAAACGCAAAAGTCAACCGCTTCGGGCTTGACGTTTGCGCATTCCGTAAGCGTGGTCCAAACCGACCAGTGCTGCGAAATGGGCACCCCCACTCCATTCCAAATCTATTCCCGGGAATTTCAGCTTTGAACAGTCCCGTTCCTTACAACTGCTCAGAATGAAAACATTGGGCTCTCTCCCACTCCTGGAATAGTTGGACTCAACCATTTTACTCTTTGAATTCCTAAATGTGAAAAGATGGCAACTGATAGCCACACTGTGTTGCTGGAAAAAAGCATCATAAAGCTGCTGGCTTTATCAAACGCGGGAACGACAAAAGAAAGTATGTGAACTCTGCTTCATTTTCGACATTTAGAAAACTATGTAGGCACCCTAGAACGGCCAATAGCTCTGTTATAGTGGGCTAAAAGGGGAGGTGTGACAATCGCTCGCTTCGTATAACGGGAGAAAATGGCAAGGACGTTCAGCAGGCAGCCTTAGCATCGATATGCCCGAGGCAGCGCGACAACGGCAGTCCTCCACGCTCTAACACTAAAGAAGAATAAAGTGTCTTCACCGTAGATCAGAATCGTCAAGTGCCGCACAATGAATATTTCCTCGTTCGCCATAACGGAAATCTGGCACGACGCATAGAGCTCCATGCAATGAAGGCAGGTTGTAGTGATGCTATGGTGGGCTTGTAAAGCCCCTCGATGTGCTTATTTCACCTTCTATTCCCTGCGGTGCAGGGTGGCGCCGCTATCCAGCGATCGACGGCTCTATGCCCCGCCATAACCCACAACAGCTCCACACGCTGAATCACCGAGTCACTTTCGCAAGCGCGGTCGTCACACCTCCCCCTTTTGGCTGGCCGTCGCAGAAAGACAGCAAGATGCACGATAAAGCCGAGTAAAATAAATGATGCGTTCTGTACAGAACGCATCCTCAACAAACAAGATGGGTAAATGCATGGCTAGAAAAAAAAGCAAACGAAATGAGTAAAGCCGGGCAGTGACCAGTGTCAAAAATGCAACAAGCAACGATTCAGACTAACGAGACAAAACTGGAAGGACATATTAAAAAGAGAAGAGAAGATCGCTAGTTCTCCTTGAATATCCAGTCGTCTAGGCACTGCTTCCACGGGATCAGTTCCGCCTTTTCGAACCACAGCTCGATTTCTCGCTTGGAACTCGGAAGGGAGTCACTTCCGTGGACCACTTTTCTGGAATGTTGAAAATGTAACAAGGTTTTTTTGCTCGCATCGCTCGTGAAGATATAAAGGGCGACAGAAATAACCAGGCTCAATCTAAAATGGGCCGTAAAAATCGGCGCTTCCACATATGAATTGAAATTTTTTCGTCAAAACGGTAACTCGCAGGTCGGTTTTTTCTTGTATAATTATGAAGCATAAGTCCTTTTCTGTAAAAAATAGGGCCACAAAGCTTGCCATAGTCAACGGCGACTGAGTCGAGTGGTGGGGCGCGTTTGGCGCGCATATTGATAGATGGCGCTACCTCGCGATGACTGTCTTCTTGTAGTGTGCCTTTGGTTTCAAAGTAAATACGGACAATAAAATCAGAATTTAAAGTTAAAAAAAAAAGTGGTTGCATAATGTCAGCATTTTTGCTGGCGAGGGATTTCGTCTGCGTGTCGTCTGCTTTCTTTCGCTGCGTGCATCAAGCGCACCTCGCCACTCGACTTCGTTGTCTACGTCGCAGTCCGCCGTTGACCCTGGCAAGTATTTTGGTCCTATTTTTTTTTTAAAGAAATGAAACTACGCTTGGCAATTTTACAAGAAAAAAAAAAAACAAAAAAAAAACTGAAATGCAGCTTTGACGAAATATTTAAATTGCTACGTGCAGGCGCTGATTTTTAGGGGCCAGAACCTAATTATTGCACATTATTTATTTATTTTTTTTTTGCTCCAGGGAACTGTTGAAAAGGTACACTGGAATCAACCATTTTTCAAGAGCGGTTGAGGGCTTCAGGTATGCTGACAGGGAATCACTTCATTTTTTGCAGGAACTTGGAAAGAACAAGTTGTTTTTAGCATGTTACTGGTTAGTCTGACATTTGTTACATAGAGTAATAATTTATTTATTGATCTACACAGATACCTGCTGCGCTGTTAGGCATTGTGTAGGGGGGTTCATAAAAACACACGCTCAAAGAACCCTTCAAAAGTACATGCAACAATCAAGACCTTTTTCACTCTAGAATACTTCTCTGCAGTCCATCAAAAAGAAAACATCATTATCAATAACGGAAATCAGTTCTTCCGGAAGCGCATTCCACTCCCGGGCGGTTTGTACAAAAAGTGAATAAGAAAAACAGTCGCTACGATAGTGATACTCCACCGCGCTCTTCGAATGATTCCGCCTTGAGGATACATGATGCGGTTCCAGAATGGAAAGACCGTTTTCAACACCTGTCTCCCCACGACATGTATTATGATAATATTTTAACCGCAAAACACCTTCTCCGAAATTTAAGAAGGTCCCAACCCAATCTGGTCTTCATTTCTGTGCAACTTGAGTATGGGCTATAATCACCTGTGACAAACCTTAATGCCCGATTTTGGCTTCGCTCTAACTTATTTGCAAGGTAACATCGAGGCAGATCCCAGATACAGTGATGGAAGCGGCATTTGACCTTTTGCATAAATAAACCATAAAAGGAACACACTTGCTAAAGTCAGAGAAGGTTTCATTTACAATGGGCATTAAAAAATGGTTGAAAAGTGAATCATAACGCATTGGGATAAATCCTCTCTCCCTTCTTCATTTCACACTTGACAGTTTCTAGCCTGTAAATATGATTTTTTTTTTTAATGCCAGCAAGAACCAGCATATCTGCTAACACGTCTACCAATAAAAACGCGTCTCATAAGTTTAATGAACCTACCAAACTCAAGACTAATATTATAAACTGACAAAAACAACCACCCAAAAATAGTGTAAAAGGCTACATGTGTACTTTAAACGCGATACTGTTTTTTTAGCGGCGTAGGAACCACAGTTACATCAAAGTTCGCTGCACTTTCGATCGACATCTGCACGGGAACTACCGTAACTGTCATATTTATTCAAATATATATATAGACTACTGCTTTCTTCTCTCTTTTTTTTTTTTAATTAGAGATTAACTTACAATTAGGACAAAGAAGGCCGACCCGTAATAATTCTGAGCACTCTAGTGAGAGGCGTTGAAGGTTGAGGCGAGCGGCGCAAGTGTCACGGCACTCTGCAGCCACGGAACGAAGCCCTGTGGCAGACATGATAATCAAGCAATCTTATCAGGAGTACAGGATTCTGGTTCTGTCTTATCACAGTAGCCGCAATCGGCAATTCTACAATTTTGCTAAGTTTTCTCAGGGACTCTTAGTTCCTGACGTCGACATTGACAACCTTCGAATGACCAGAAATTTAAAGATTGAAAAACCACTGGATGAAGTTTAATCTGGAAACAAGATTCTGGTAAAAAGAGCTGAAAAACCACACTATATATGAATTGCCATCCGTTTTGGTGCCGTCCACGTTTAGAGCGTGATGTCGATAGGACGTCTGGTGCTACGGTAATTTCCGTTTTCGTCCTAAAGTAGATTTAGGGTAACTGTAGCGCTCTGTGCGAACGTCTTTCCAAAGCATGGTCCAACACGATACTGCTACTGACCTGCCCGGCATAATGCCGTCATAGTCGCCACGGATCGTGCCCGGCTTGGACTTGAGGGGGTCGGTTGCACCAATCATGTCCCTTGTCCTCTTTATGACCTCCTTGCCTTCCCACACCTTCGCGCAAAAAGAGTCGCGAGAATGTCTGAGAGCTCACAAAACGTGTCGCCAACCACACAAAACTCCCGCCAACTGCAGGGAGAGGTCCCCATGGACCATTCAGGGCTTTTTATGGATCTAAAAGGAGAATCCACGCTTTAGATTTCTCTATTGCAGCGGTCCCCCAAATGTGGTCCACGAACCCACAGGGGTCCGCACTGATTTAGGGATCGCTTCACCTCTCCACAAGAGGGTTTAAAATCGTCGGACTAAACGTCGTCACAGCTGTAATAGTGGCCTCAGGAGTCTCAATGTGCTCTTGTTGGTTTCTAGTTCCGAGTGCATTTGGAGAAAACGCTCAAATAAGGTGTTGCCATTTTTGCTTCCCACTGCGAGACTGCTTTGTCGGGGCTCGTCCGCAGGAGGCTGAAGGCTATATTCAGTCGGACTAACGACTTCAGGCATCCTTCAATTTACGGCGACATCAGTTCCCCGATACATGCAGCACCTTGTTGTCGTATACATGCAGCACCTTGTTGTCGTCAGCACATTCAATGATGGTCTGCAAATGACCACTCAAGCCACGGTCACACTGCCAATACATCATTCAAAGGACAGTCTGCAGGCATGCTCAAGCCGTACACATGTGCAAACATGCGTGAGACGCGTTTGCAGATCTGTTCGTTGTCACATCTACAGCAAACACCGTGTCTTTCTGTATGACGTATGGGCAGCGTGACTGCTGCTGAAAGATAGCTGTGGCGGCACAAAGTTTAGGAAGTTCTGCCCTGGGCTTGTCCCATGCTGAAAATAATCTCGTTTGGCATCTGTTACGGTCCTGCAGCCAGTCATTCTCCGTTGTGCTGGGCATGGCAGGAGTGGAACGGGGCACGCTTAAATCGAACCGAGAGGAGGCCTACAGAAAGCAGCGATGGATTGCGACTCACCATGATGACGATGGGTCCCATTTGCATATACTTTATGAGAGCCTGAAAGAATGGTTGGTCCGAGCGCTCCTCATAATGTTTCTTCAGTGTCTCTTCAGCTGCCTGTAAGAAAGGAAAGAAACACACAGAAACGTAATTATACACTCTCCATTGCATTGGTTCCACACCAGCATGTATTTTCCATGCAACATGGAGGCAATATTGAGATAGTATGAACTTGATTTTGTGGCACTCGTGCGTGAAATTATCCTTCTCTATTTACGGGATGGTAAAGACAAACAAGTTTTGATATACTTTTGTCTGCTTCTTTTATTTCTTATTATTCTTTCTGCATACCAAAAGGTTTGGATTTTCGGACTCATTGACTGCAGTCTCATTGACAGGATGAGAACAGCAAGGGTGTCTCTTTTCAATGCCTACCCTTCAGCATGCGCTCGTTGCCTTCCTTCGTGCTTTGGCTGCATGTGCACACTCGAGACTCGCGAGACACCACAGCATTACCAAAGGTAATGCTTTGGTGTCTCGAGGTAATGCTTTGGTGCCTGGAGGCGGATCCTTGTTTCCCTCGCGAGATTTGAGCAATCTCTTCGTGTGCCGCTTGTCTGTATCCAACCGATCCGTGGGAAAGTGGCGGAGCGCGTCGAGCGGTCTGGAGTAGCTCTCCGCGCAGCCTTTTTCAGGGGAGTGCGATCTGTAGTCACTCGCAACATTTCAGTTTCGTTATCAATGTTTCCGCGGGAGAGTGAAGGAGTTTCGCGGCTTTTTTTGTTTCGATTGCTGCGTGGGCTCTCTTGCTGTGCTTGCTTTCATTCCTCTCGTCATGACCGACTTGCCCGAGCATGCTGCGGCGACGACATCGTTGCAATTAATTTCAGGAGATCTATTAAAACGCAGTGACAGCGAAATCAGCGACAGCGACGAAGATACCAGTTTAGCTCCAGCTCGAGTGACGACGAGGCAGCCGTTCTCGGCGAGGTGTTTGCCAAGTTGTTCGCCTTGCCAGCGAAGAGGCCCAAGATATCGTGTTACGTCGAAGACGTTGTGCGCACCTATTCGGATTAAGAGCTAGGTTTGTCGTTTGTTCGTTGTTTGGTCTCTGTAATATAATTGGAATAATTAGAAGACAATACGCCAAATACTCCGCCGATGGAAATTGCCTTCGGAGATGACGATCGCTTTATGGCATGCATGTTTAGTATTGCTTAATTGCATCCTACGGCTCGTACAAGTACTTCTAGTTGTCTTCACCGGGTTTATATAAGTGTAAGGAAAACTAAATTTAGTCTTAACGTCGGCGTTCACCGCTAATTAAGTAGTAAACAATAATTTTTTTGGTCAAAGTATGAAGTTATGATCAGAATTTTATGCTTTCGGCAAGATAGCAGACGCTCTGAAAGCGGTGGCGTTGGGAGCATTACGCTCGATTTGCTCCGCAGCGTGTGCCACTGGGGTGGCCCAAGTAGCACCCAATGTCGTGCGAACATTCCCTGGGTGTTCTGAGTGTTGAAGGAACGTTAAAACACCATTCGGTACATTCTAGGAGCATTCGTATGCAAACATTCCCTACCACTCAAGGTAAGCTGCTGAGCATCCTATGGGAACGTTCGTTGGCGAACATTCGTATGCAATGTTCTCGGAATGTTCGCTTTCGAACATTCATATAAGCAACATTTTTGAAACATTCGTTTGTGAACATTCCTAGAATAATTTGCAGGTGAAGCCAACTTTATGGAGCACTCGCGCAACCTTTGGTTCGAAATACCATCCAAAATATGAAAATTAAGTGGAGTTTCTGGGAACTTAGCATAAGGGATCAGTTTTATCTTATACGAGTCTACCGAGGAATGTGATATTGGGTGTAGGAGAAAAGCAGTGGTTTTTAAAACTTGATAATGAACTTGGCGCTCACTGCGTATCTAGAGGGGCAGTTTTGAATGGACCAGATTTTTAGTATCTGGGGTTTAAAACTTTGAAAACGGTATTTCCCAGTTAAATATGGGATGCCATGTGTATCTCTTCTTATGCTCAGAGTGAGTAATCGGTTATGTACACAGCACATTTTGAAAGAAACAAGTTGACGAGTGACAGGTAGGAGTAAACTGACGCTAGCTTGTGATCAGGCCGATGCCCTGGGAAAGCGGCTAGCTTGTGTTTGCACCTTCTAAAAATCTGTTTCGATTAAAAAATATCGCCCTGTGAGGAGCTTTATCACATCCATATATGTAGTGCGGCTTATTGGGGTTGCAGCCTAAACAAGCCGTAATCCTGGATTTTTAGTAAATAGTCCACGCCACGTTCCAAGGAGATTGAAAGGATGTCCCTGCATAAAATTGCAACATTTCAAGAAAGTTACAGAAGTTACGAGGCGTTAGCGACATCCACCAGGTGCTCTTTGCTAATCGTTTAATTTGCTTTAAAATTCCTTTTCGAGACTTTTTCAACAAGATATTGGTATGTTCGATGTGATACTGCTCCTTTGAACATATATAGACCAAAAAATGAGCGCCGAAATTTCGTTGTAGTATCACTTTAAGTTCTCAGTGTTTATGCATACAACTAAAAGTCTCACTGTTGCACACTGCACTTAATTTTTTTTTTTTTCTCGGATCTATCAACGTGTGTTTGGCAAAGACAGCTGAGCCGAGACGCGCGCTTCGACGCAGGAATCTCACAAATCCACCCGAAGCAGGACCTCTTTGGCCTTGGGCGACGGCGGAAGCGAGGTCGGCAACTTCGTGAGCCGCGGGAGATCAGAGAAACAGGCAGCAGGCACACCATTGGCAGGTGGCGTGTGACGTCAGGTCTGACGAGCACCGACGTCAAAGAACAGTGGAGGAGGCGAGGAGGAAAGTCGTGAATTGGGCTTGGCCGCTGTCCAATAAGACCGACCAGTCCCGGACGCTTCAATTTTTACGATTTTTGCAGCAGTCGTGTGACCTGACGATTTTTGTAGTAGCCTGTTTGGACTAGGGAGCCCTCACGTGTGCTGCGCAGCACAAGGCTCCCTAGTTTGGACAGGCCTTGAGAATGTCCCATAGAAAACAATCCCCGAATGTAGCGATAAGTGCCTGTGCCACATTCTGACAACGTAGATAGAATGTTCTCACGTAAATTTCCAACATTACAAGAATGTTGCGTATGTTCCTTTGTACATCCCCGGAATGTTCTCAGAACGTTCTCGTACTACGTGGGGGATCACGTGACCGATCGCTCACGGAGGCCAGCCGCTCAACGACCCCTAGCGCGGAGCGCTCGGCATCTGCCAGGGGAGGGTGGGGAGGGGGCTACTATTTTACACAGTGCAGCTCGTTGTGCAGGTATTCAGGGAGAGGCAGGCGCCCAGACACAATTTTCAACACCGTGCGCTTCGGAGACAAAATCAGCGCGCGGACCCACCTGCAGAAACTTCATCGCCACGAGTTTGAAGCCGGTCTTCTCCAAGCGGCTAACCACTTTACCGATGAGTCCACGCTGGACGCCGTCGGGTTTGACGATCATAAAGGTGCGTTCGCGCCGTTCTTGGACGGCGGCCGACGGCGACGCGTACATGGCCATGAGGATCCCAACCACCATCGGGGGCTCGCGTGCAACGATGCTTTTATACTCCCCCGTGGTCTATTTTTATACCCGGTAATTAATGTCCACGAGAGAGTCGAACCTGCCAAGCCAGGCGAACGCAGCTCCCAGCGTTCAAAGAAATGCCGTAGAGGCCAGCACCGTCGTCCATGTGATTATGGAACCACCCCTACAAACGCCGCGAAACGTGGCGTTTTGTCGCCTTTCCCTACCGTAAAGGGAGGTCGGTTTCGGATGCGCCGAACTCGCCGGAATTCTGCTGGTTGTATACGCGTATACAACCAGCAGAACTCCGGCGAGTTCGGCGTCACCGCCGTCACCGCGGTGACGGGCAGAGTCGGCCCGGCAGTGTCGGTCGGCTAGTTCTGGTTTGTGTGAAGAAAGTCGCGGTGGCGCGTCTGGTCGCGGACGAAGTGTCAATCATGCCTGGAAGGTACTGGGGTGCTATGTTGCGCTTTTTGGACTCCCAGGAGACTAGGGAGAAGGAAGTGACGTCAGCGACACAGCAAACGCAGATTGGATGTTGATTTTGTTTTCTTCTGTCAACATCCAATCTGCGTTTGCTCTAGTCGTTGACGTCACTTCCTTCTACCAAGTCTCCTGGGAGTCCAAAAAGCGCAACATAGCACCCCTGGTCTGCCAGATGGTGCGGCAATTCTAATAAGACGCCAAATGTTTCTCTGGTGCTGTTCGCAACAGATCACAGGTGTGGTTTCGGTTCGGAAGTTCTTCACTTTGCTACTGCGGAGTCTGGTGAACGTAAGTTCTTAGTATATGTTATTATTATTAATTTAAGGTACGAGAGATGGGCATCGCACACCAATTTGCCAAGAGATCACAAGAGAAAGAAGAACACTATCCCTGTTTGGCTCATTTTTTGGCAGACGCATTTATAAACAAGAAGCGCTTAAAAAACAACGCCGTGCTTTAACACACTATGGCAGACGCATTTATAAACAGCAAGCGCTTAAAAAAAAAAAAAAAAAAAAAAAACAACGCCGTGCTTTAACTTTTTCTTTTACACTTTTGGAATTTGACGGAGCAGGACTAGAGCTTGAGATAAGACTGATTTTAGCTTTTCTTCCTTCCCGGTTGTGTTTTTTTTTTTTTTTTTTTTTTTTTTTTTTTTGATAAGACGTAGCTGAGAAGAATAAATTTTTTTTTTTCAAAGGCAGGAAAAAAAAAAAAAAAACTCGTTTTTGGTCAGAAAAAAGTGTCGTCTTTGTATGTAACTTTTAATTAAGTTGGCAGTTTTAACATTTACAAACAAATGCACCGCCTAATTTACCCCCTTCGTGTTTTTTTTCCTTCAAGATTTATTTGAAAGGGTCTGGAATATTAGGCTATATAAATCAGTGTAATCATTTGTACATTTGTGTTCATCTGTGGTCCAGGTCGACAGATGGGCAATGCCGACTCCTTCAGTCGGTTGCCTTTGTCGACAATGAACTTTCAGCCCCCACCCCTGGTGGACGTTCTCCTGCTCGAGGCTGCTACGGAGGTGCCAGTCGACGCAGAGCGAATTGCTCGACTAACGAAACAGGATCCGAAGCTGTCCCGCGTCCTCCGATGGATCAAGCATGGATGGCCTGACGAGAAGCCATGAGAAGAGCTTCAACCGTACTATGTGCGCCGCGACGAACTCTCCGCATACCGCGACTGCATTCTTTGGGGCAGCCGCGTGGTTGTGTCACCTAGCCTCCGCCCCGAGATCCTTAAAATTCTCCTTCTGCACATCCCGGAATGGTGCGCATGAAGGGGCTCGCCAGAGGCTACGCCTGGTGGCCAGGCGACAAGGGAATTGAAGAGCAGGTTCGCACCTGCGCGACTTGAAAAGTCGCAAGGGACTCGCCTCAAGGTCCAGTGCTCCGGATTCTGGTGGCGCGGACCTTGATCCACAAGAGACTCGTGACGACGCCGGGTCGGCTGCAAAGCACAACATATGCCGCTGATATTAACCATGTTGAATTAACCTGAGACTGGGGTAGAGAAGAAACATCAAAACGTAGAAGGGACAGAAAATAGACAGGACGACGTCTTGTCGTTTATTCAAGTCCTCGCGCCCTGACCTCGCCGAGGAGTCGCGTGTATTGGGGTTCCCCCAGGTTGCACCAGATGGAGCCACACGTCCGGAGAGCACCGAACCGGGCGCGTGTCAGGTTTCGTTTGCGCGTGCCTCGCGCGCCTGCGGTGCGGACCCTGCGTTCTGCGATACCGCGCGCGTCCCCGCCGAGCGTTGGAGCGACTCTCCACAATGTAATCCCCGCCAGCCACGCGGGCTGTGTATATATACTCTAATAAAGTTGCGTTCTTACGTATCAGGGAAACAACAAAAAGATCGACCAGAAATGGACGCAAAAATGCCGCAGTCCACTGCGCAAGTGACAAATTATGCGGTACATTCCGGATAACATGATTTTCATTTCATCTTTCCAGTGATGCGGCGAGGTAGTTGCAAAATGGACTGAAAAGTACTTTAAAGCATTCCTCGCCATTCTAGCAATCCTGTGTTCGGCTCACAAGTAGTTTGTAACAGATCAAAATAATATTGCTTTCAATTAGCGTTATTTCGCGGTTTTCATCTTTCCGCATAAAACGAAACAGAAAACTATCATCTATTGTGTCCTAATACCGGAAACCGGCATTTTAAAGGTTAAAAACGAGACGTTGCGAATATGGGATCCACACTTTCATGCAAAGCTGGCGTCAAGTGACTCAAATCGAAGAACATGCATATTCACAATATTATTGTTATCTCAGGCTCAACAGCCGTTGCATTCATTTTCCCGCACGAAACGGTGGCTCGCAGAGGAAATATAGAACACAGTGTTACGGCCTTGTTTTTTTTTTTTTTTCTCTTCCTTTTCTTTTTCTTCTTCTTTTCTTTTTCTTCAATAACAAGCACTTGCACGTTTGCGCTGATAAGGCCTCAAAACCGAAACTCACGTATCGTGAATGCGCTCACTGCGCCCCCTACTGCCCAACCCAGTTATCACACATCTTCTGCACAAAGTATCCTAAAATTACCAGTAAACATACAAAAATGTGACAGATACTATAATCTTGTAAAATATAGCCTTATTTAGTAATAATATCATCTGTTGGGCTAGTTGGTTAGACATTATCAGATAAAATTAGCGCAAACGACAAGAGAAGAGAAAGGCAAACGACAAGAGAAGAGAAATGTCTTACCTTTCTCTTCTCTTGTCGTTTGCGCTAATTTTATCTGATTATTTAGTAATAACTGCGTCAATATGCATTAAAAAAAACACTTTAGGTCTGGTAACAATGTATTTTCGCCGAATCCAGTGGCCGAATCTTTGCCGATTCTTTCGACAGTTCGGCGAAAATTCGGCTTTGCCCGAGTTCGGCCCATCACTAATTATTTACGTAAGAAAAGCGCCCTTTGTTCTATTTCGCGTAGAAGATCCGTGAAGAGAAACACTCCCAGAAATATGTAACTCTTTTGAGACGAAAATCTGATCAACGTCACATACACCGAGAGGTTTCAACGCCGGCAAAGGTCGGTAGCGTCACTCCGAGACACTCGCACCAACTCTTTCGCCTCCGTCAACTTCCGAAACAATCGAACGCTCAGCCGGCGGCTTTTGCTTGCGGTTATTTGCGGTCTCGGGGGCTGTTGGCCCACACTGATTACCGTGTATAAAAATAGTCCACGGGTGAGTATAAAAGCACCGTTGCACGCGAGCCCCCGATGGTTGTTGGGATCCTCATGGCCATGTACGCGTCGCTCGCGGCCGCCGTCCAAGAACGGCGCGAACGCACCTTTGTGATCGTCAAGCCCGACGGCGTCCAGCGTGGACTCATCGGTAAAGTGGTCAGCCGCTTCGAGAAGAACGGCTTCAAACTCGTGGCGATGAAGTTTCTACAGGTGAGTCCGCGCGCTGATTATCTCTCCGAAGCGCACGGTGTTGAAAATTCACACGGTGAAATTGAACTAAAGAAGCTCAGCTTGGTTGCGCGGTTATGAAAAGCCATGGCGTCATCACTGAAGGGGCTAGAACGGCAGGGAGATCTTTCGGTTGTCACGCCCCCAGCGCAAGCTTTCTCCCTTCGGTAATGCTTTGGTGTCTTGCTAGTCTCGAGCGTGCATATGCAGCCAAAGCACAAAGGAAGGCAACGAGCGCCCTTGCTGTTCTCATGCTGTCAATGACTGCAGTTCATGTCTCTTCCAAAAATCTAAACCTTTTGGTATGCAAAAAGAATACTAAGAAATTAAAGAAGGAGGCAAAAGTATGTCGAAACTTGTTTGCCTTCACCATCGGTAAGTAGAGAAGGCTAATTTCGCGCATGGGTGCCACAAAATCGAGTTCATAGTATTTGGATATTGCCTCCATGTTGCATGGAAAATCAATGCTTGTGTGGAACCAATGTAATGGAGAAAGCATATTTACATTCTTTTTTTTTTTTATTTTTTTTTTTTTTCATTTTCTTTTTTGCAGGCAACTGAAGAGATACTGAAGAAACATTATGAGGAACTCTCGGACCGACCATTTTTTCACGCTCTCATAAAGTATATGCAAATGGGACCCATCGTCATCATGGTGAGTCGCGATCCATCGCTGCTTTCTGCCTGCCTCGTCTCGGTTCGATTCAACCCCCGCCATGCCCAGCAGAACGGAGAACAACTGGCTGCAGGACTGCAACAGATGCCGATTGAGATTAGTTTCAGTGTGGGACAACCCTAGGGCAGACCTTCCTAAACTTTGTGCCACCACATTTATCTTTGAGCAGCAGTCATGCTGCCCATACGTCGTACAGAGAGACACGGTGTTTGCTGTAGATGTGACGATAAAGTGATCCTCAAACGCATCTCTTGCATGTTTGAAGCATGTTTGCACATGCGTACGGTTTGAACATGCCCCCAGACTGTCCTTTGTATGATGTATTGGCAGTGTGACCGTGGCTTGAGGGCTCATTTGCAGGCCCTTATGGAATGCGCTTACGACAACAATGTGTTGCATGCATCAGAAAACTGATGCAGGGATGGAACTGCTGCTCCAATTACGCCATTGTGCGCCTATTCACTTTTCATGCACCACACTGATACAATAGTATAAATAAGAACAAAATTGCGCCAAGGTGCGCCAAAACTGAAATTATAAACGAGCCTCGTCGAAATTAGCCGCCTCGCAGTTTTTGTTGGCAACACTGACATCGGACATTCCGGCCCAAAGGGAACGTTGGTGGATACGAATCCGAAGCGCTGTATCTGAAGGTTGCTGCCATGGTTGTACTTCATGTCAGCTTAAAACAGAAGTTACAGCATTCTCACTGCGATGCTTCTGCTACTAGACCTCTTTGAAGCCATTCGCTGTTGCCCTGCTTCATCTAAGAATGCTGCAAATGAGAGCTCTGGAATTTCAGCGTCCCTGCCAAGAGCGCACGCTCGTGCAGTGCAAGCACTGTTCAAGACCACGGGCTGGCACTTGTAGCATTGACTACGTCTGCTGTTGTTACTGTGTGCTTTTCTGGAGTCTAATTTTCTTGTAATTTCGTAAAAAAATGTTTCAAATAAAACATTAATTGAACCTACTGTTAAGTTCATATTGAGTTATCTACATGCCCTATCTCCTTGAGTTTTGAAAACCAGGTGACACTTAGCTTCTATTTTAATTCTTAAAACTGGTATGCTGCTCCCAACTTGCTCCAAGACCTAATTTTTGCTGCTTCCAGCCTCCTCCAAACTCTAGTATTTTTCTGCTCCCAAGATTGCTCCAAATCTGCTTTGCCCAGTTCCATCCCTGCTGACGTCGCCGTAAATTTAAGAAAGTCGTAAGTCGTTAGTCCGACTGAATATAAATCGCATTTAATGCCTTCGGCCTCCTACGGACGAGCCCCGACAAAGCAGTCCCGCGGTGGGAAGCGAAAATGGCTACACCTTATTTGAGCATTTTCTCCAGATGCACTCTCAACTAGAAGCCAGCAAGAGCACATTGTTACTCCTAAGGCCACTATTACAGCTGCGAGGACGTTTGGTCTGACGATTTTAAACCCTCTTGTGGAGAGGTGGAGCGATCCCTAAATCAGTGCGGACCCCTGTGGGTTTGTGAACCGCATTTGGGGGGATCTAAAGCGTGGATTCTCTTTTTAGATAAAAAAAAAATGTCCTCAGTGGTCTGTGGGGACCTCCCCCTGCAGTTGGCCGGACTGTTTTGTGTGGTTGACGACATGTTTTGTGAACTCCCCGACGTTCTTGCGACTCTTTTTGTGCGAAGGTGTGGGAAGGCAAGGAGGTCGTAAAAAGGGCAAGGGACATCATTGGTGCAACCGACCCCCTCAAGTCCAGCCCGGGCACGATTCGTGGCGACTACGGCATTGTGACGGGCAGGTCAGTAGTATCATGTTGCACTATGCTTTGGGAAGACGTTCACACTGAGCGCTACAGGTGCCCAAAATCTGCTTTAGGTGGAAAACGGAAATTACCGTAGCACCAGGAGTCCTTTTGGCACCAAGTGGATGGGCAGTTCATGTATAGTGTGGGTTTTCAGCTCTTTTTACCGGAACCTTTTGGCTAGATTAAACTTTTCCAGTGGTCTTTCAACCTTTAAATTTCTGGTCGTTGAAAGTTTGCCGAACCCGTTGGTGCAGTGAATTGCAATGTTTCATGTTTGTTCAAGCTCCACAAATTCGAGTGTTCGGTTTGTCGAACCAGTCAGCTCGCCAGGTTCAAAGCCGAACAAGGATAGACATTTGGAATCTTGCAATTTGATCAGTTTTTGCTCGACTCAGAATAATCCTGTTTGTGTGGTCGTGTCTCTCATCTATTGGAGACTTGAATTCTTGTGCTACAGTGTTTTTGACATTGCTCTATTTGATTGGCTCGCTCAATAAAAACTCCTGAAACTCAAACTTGTGGAGAGAACATTTGCCAAATTAACCAGAACATAAAAATTGTGAAATCTGAGGTTAAGGCATAGCCTGTAGTTTTGTTATAAACTCTGGCAGTCCTTAGGAATGCATTGAGACACTTTGTCCTCTTCTTGGATTTATATTAGGTTGAGAGAAGCATACTAGGACCCCTGTTTTTTCTTATATTTATTACCAATATTTGTGAAAGCACGCAGTCATATATTAAATTATTTGCAGATGATTATGTAGTATACGGAGTTGTTGAAAATGAGGCAGACGTCTGTACAATGCGAAGAGATTTGGGAATGTTAGAGCGTTTGTGTGATGGTTTGGAAATGGGATTGAATATAAAAAAGTGAAAATACATCTATTGTACACAATTTATTGTTAGCCCGTCTACATATAAATAAAAGAATTGTGAAGTTGAATGGGTAGATGAACATAAGTATTTGGGAGTGTATTTTTCAAATAATTTAAAATGGAATGACCATGTAGATAATACTGTAGCGAAGGCAAGTATAAGAGGTTATATATTATTCGGAGGAATTTTAATAATACACCTCGTAGTGTGAGACAAACATCATATTTCTCTTTAATCAGACCAATTTTAGAGTATGCCTGTGTTATCTCAGGGATCTGCCTCAGTGTTACCTTGCAAATAAGTGAGCGAATTCAAAATCAGGCATTAAGGTTTGTCACAGGTGATTATAGCCCATATTCAAGTTGCACAGAAATGAAGGCCAGTCTGGGTTAGGACCTTGTAAAACTTCGGAGAAGATTTTCGCAGTTAAAAACTTTTTATAATATATGTCATGGGGAGTCAGGTATTGAAAAAGGCCTTCAAGTCCAGGAACCACATGATGTATCCTCAAGGCGGAGTCATTCTAAGACAGCGGTGGAGTATCGTTATCGTAGTGACTGTTCTCCTTATTCACTTTTTGTTCAGACTGCCCGGGAGTGGAATGCGGTTCCGGAAGAACTGATATCTGTTATCGATAATGATGTTTTCTTTATGATGGAGTGCAGAGAAGTATTCTAGTGTGAAAAAGCTTTACTTATTGATTGCTGCTTGTACTTTTGAAGGGTTCTTTGAGTGTGTGTTTTTCATGTACCCCCCTGCCATAGCCTCCATAGAGGAGGCTATGCCCCTGCATAACGCCTAACGGCGCAGCAGGTATCTGTGTAGATTAAGAAATAAAGAAATACTCTATGTAACAATTGTCAGATGAACCAACACGCTAAAAGCAAATTGTCCTTTCCGAATTCCTGCAAAAAATGAAGTGGTTCTCTGTCGGCATACGTGAAGCCCTCAACCGTTCTTAGCAAAAGTTTGATTCCAGTACATGTTTCCAGGCGACTCTTAGTCGCCTGCGCCGCCGTTTGCCGGTGACCCTGGCAAGCTTTTTGGCCCTATTTTTGTTTACAGAAAGGCAGTTACGCTTTGTAATTATACAAGAAAAAAAAAAAACAAACAAAAACAACCGACCTGCGAAATATTGTTGTGATAAAAAATATAAATTGCTACGTGCAGGTGGCAATTTTTACTGCCCATTTTATTTTGAGCCTGGTTATTTCAGTCGCCGTTTATATCTTCACGAGCAACATGAGCACAAAAACTTGTTACATTTTCGACATTCCAGAAACGTGGTCCACGGCAGTGACTCTCTTCCGAGTTCCAAGCGAGAAATCGAGCTGTGGTTCGAAAAGGCTGAAGTGGTCCCGTGGATGCAGTGCCTGGACGACTGGATATTCAAGGAGAACTAGCGATCTCATCTCATTTTTTTTATGTGTCCTATTTAATTTTGTTAGTCTGAATCTTTGTTTGTTGCATTTTTGACACTGGTCACTGCCTGGCTTTACTCATCTCGTTTGCTCTTTTTTAGCCATTTACTCATCTTGTTTGTTGAGGATGCAATCTGTACGGAACTTGCAAATTTGTCGTGCATACATTTGCTGATGTCAGTTAGCACGATCGGCTTTACTTTACATATTGCTGTCGTTCTGCGACTTTTTTGCTCTCCAATAATAAAGAGGTGCAGAAACGTCATTGTTGGTGTCGTTTCCATTTAATGCCAAGTGCTGAACAGAGACAAAGCTACGGTCGGCCAGAAGGGGGAGATCTTGACCGCGCTTGGGAAAGTGGCTCCGTGATTCAGTGTGCGGAGCTGTTGTGGGTTGTGGTGGGGGCGGAGAGCCGTCGATAGATGGATAGCGGCGCCACCCTGCATTGCAGGGAATAGAAATTGAAAGAAAAAGTACATGGAGGGCTTTACAAGCCCAGCACAGCTTCACTACAACCTGTTTTGATTGCATCGAGCTCAATGTGCCATGCTTGATATTTGTTATGGCTAACGAGGAAATATTCATTGTGCAGCACTTCACGGTTGTGATCAACGGTGAAGGCATTTTCTTCTTTAGTGTTCACAGTGCAGCGAAGTGCCGTTGTGGCACTGCCTAGGGCATTTCGATGCTATTGCTGCGTGCTGAACATTCTTACCATTTTCTGCCGCTATACGAAGCAAGCGATTGTCACACCCATGACCTACAGTAGGTCGTGGTCTGGTCTCACCTCCCCTTCTAGCCCACCATAACAGAGCTATTGACCTCTCCAGCGGCAGCCTCAAAGGAAGCGATTTACGGTGCGCGTCCCTGGTTTTGAGAGTTTAGGTCAGTGTTGACTGCGCTGGGCTGTGGGTTTTCTCGTCATTAAAGGGATACTGAACCAAGGAATTTAGTGTCCATAATAATTGGCGCACGTTCTTTCCAAGAGCCTGCAGCCGCCGGTGTGCGCGAGCACACGCAACAAAAATGACGTCAAAGACCTCCATTCGCGGTTAAGATGACAGTGAAATGTACGGGCTTCGGGCCAAAGGAGAATAAAGACAAGTTCCTCATCCACACAGTGGTGTCCGGTGTAAAAGGTAAGCGATTAATTGGTCTCACAAGCACGTAGCTTTCACTTGTAGAGATGAAAAGCCTGTCTTTATTCTCCTTTGTCCCGAAGCCCATGCATTTCACTGTCCTCTCAACCGCGAATGGAGGACTGTGACGTCATTTTTGTTGCGTGTGCTCGCGCACACCGGCGGCTGCTGGCTCGTGGAAAGAACGTGTGACACTTATTATGGGCACTAAATTTCTTGGTTCAGTATCCCTTTAAGCTGTGGCAGCCTGCGTAGGTGCAATTCCGGACACTATTGTGTCCCGTGTTTTATGGTAAATAAAGAAAAAAAACATTGTACCATTTTTGGGAACAAAAACGAAGCTATTTTTTGGGGAGTCCGTGCACGACAGAACAAATGCAACTAGAATGTTTATTCCATTTTATGCTGGTTTTTTTACGACGCCATACACTCAGCCGTTGCAATCTATGAAGGTCTTAACTGTGGAAAATATTTAACTACAATATATAGCTGAAAAGCATGGGTATCCCCCGCTTGCAACATGAAATTCGAATCTCGTTAATCGAACAACGTATTGTAACGATGCTTGAATTAGGCTAGTTGGTTTCACATTATGAGGCATACTGTGCTGCAGAGTTATACTGAACATATAAACTATGAGACGATATGGTAGACAGAACTAAGAATATGACGTACATGTGAAAGCGCAGATTAACAACTCATTATTTTTCGTTTCTCCTTCCTTTGCACCCTTGTTGTGAAGGATGAAGATTGCTGAAACTCGAGTACGAAGCCCTCTCGCGTTCTACTGAAAAACAGTCGCATTTTCCACTCTATCCTCGAATGAAGGGGCATCAGCCAATACTCTGATGTGACCCTCCTGTCATCGTTAGAACTATACCAGGTGTCTCAAAAAGCGGCCAGGCTCTTTAAATCGACCGCAAAAATCGGTTTCTTAACCTATCGCGCTACGAGTTTGTGCAGCGTTGCCCACAGGTGGTGCATTTTTTTCTATAAAATTTGCAAAGATCAAACTTACCTGAGGAAAAGTAAAATAAGAAAAAGGCTTAACTCCTATGAAAATGCAGCGAGGCCACCGGTCTCGCGACTCCAGCAAAACGGACGCCGCCAAGCGGGAAAACCGGGAACCAGCCGGTCCAGGTCGCTCCGCGCCCCTTCGCGTCTCTGGTGGCTTTCGCGGAGACGTGTTGTCGGCGCGGTGGCGAACAATGTAATTTGACGAAGGTCCGAATATTTCTTAAGTTTGCCTGAGTGATCATTAGTGTGGTGAAGCCTCAGTAGATTGTTTTCTTCTATTACGTGTTTGAAAGCCCGTTTACTCCACAGCACACGGTCGCGTGCTTTCGATTTCTTGGATGGGGAGGAATCACGGAAAAACTTTTTGATTTCTTGTCTGTCTCGAATCAGATTCAAAGTGACGACTGCTTGGTAACTGATACTGGAGGGAACATCAATGTTGCAGTCAAGTGAATGGGAAGGTTCGATAGCTGCTTTTCTTGAGTTTGGTTGTGTTCGGTTAGCTTCAAGTTTGAGCCACCCACGCCGGTACGGTGCGTTGGTTATTCATCTTGGCTGCTTTTCGCCGAAAAAGCCTCTGGACCACACTGAAGGAGTTGGGCTGGTTTCGCAATTACTCTATTCAGGAAAACTTGCTCGCTGCAAATGATGAATGAGGGAAATTATCTGTTTTCAAAAGGTGGGAGACAAGTCTCGCAACGTTAGATGCTGCCACGGCATTTTGACCTATCGCGCTTCCAATATTTATATTACCAGGACGTCGAAGCCAGCAGTAATATACGTCTACATTGATCAGGTTGACCGGCCACAAAAAAATACTAATTTTCTCCGTTCAGGATTCGAAGCAAAGTTCAATGCAGAGAGGTTCTGCGTGGATCTTCAATACACACTCTCTTCAGTTTGTCTCCGTGCTGCCGGCTATAGAACCATTTGGCTAAGTTTAAGTAGTATGTCTTCGTCTGTCAAATATACTTTTATCCAGCAGCTCACCTAATAGCTAGTCAACTAAGCTCATATTTCAACCCGAAGGATATACTAATATCGCTTTAGTGGGACCATAGTACGTAATATAATACATAACCCGCTCGTCAAAATGACTTCTCGATTGCTACTAAAACCTGAATTGAAATACGAGTATCAGCTGCTTAGTGGGGCGCCGGCGGGTTAACATGGTCCTTGGCTCAAAAAGCGGTTGCTTAATTTTCGTAATTTTCTTGCAGCCTGTGTTGATGGCCGAGCAGACGACTGGAGCTCTTTCGTAAACGCGGATACGCACAAAAGCTCGATTCCGCGGACAGATAAGTCGCATGGTCGAGGCATGCGAGTTAGCTGAAAAGTTACTATCTGTGGAACAATTCTATAGTCATCGCCGCTTTCCTTAGATGATCAAAACTGATTAATATATTACCGTCTCTCCGGAGCCCATAGTTTCGGTTTTGAACGAAATCTCCGAAACGAAAGTTTGACACGAAAAGAAAAAAAAAAAAAAAAAAAAAAAAACACCGGCAAAACAAAACTATGCTTTGCAAATTTATCTGCACCGGCTACACTTCACCGTCTCAGTTCAAATACCTTTAAAATTGGGCATTAAACAAAAGAAAATCTGTTAAATTGAACGCGCCACCCATTCAGGCGGCCCGGCCGAGCCGCCGCGACCTGGACTCAGCCGCCATGTTTGTTTGGTGGTGGCGCCCCCTATAGGTCGCTGGAGTCGCGAATAGGGCGCGCTATGGTTTGAAGACCGGTGGCTTCGCTGCGTTTCCCCTTTTCCCATAGGTAACAGCCCAAAGCTATATTTGGACGTTTTGTCCACTGACGTCGAGCTGGCGATACCAGCTTTTACGAGAGGCTTGATAGCTGTTGGATATATAACATACTGTTTTTTTCTGTTACTTCTGCTCTTCTAAAAAAAAACCAGTCTCAGGGTAAACGACGAAATGGTTAAATAGCTAATGTGCGTATCAAAGACTAGAAAAACAAAAGAAAAAACAAACATGTTTTGCAGCAGGGCCGGAAAAACCTTGATTGTCTTACTGTGTAGCCTGTAATCTGTACATGAGCTATTTTAATAAGTTGTGTTGCTCGACTGTCAAGCCGCTCTTGAAAGTTGGTATCATCGGTCCGACGTCTGTGGACTGAACGTCGAATTGTTGTTTTGCGGTGTTGCATATGAGACAAGGAATGTACCCCTATCCAGTGTCGTCGACAGTAGCTCCAGGACGTTCAGACTGAATCCGGTTTGTTTCTAGGCACGTTTTGAAAGCTGCTTTTTTGCGCAGCACCAAAGCAAAGGAACCGACCTGTCTGTTCCTTTTCCTGCCCTGGACCCGATCGGCTATTTTTCGGGAAGACCAACAGCAGGGAAAGTTTTTCGGGGATTATTTCCACAAAAATAATCCCCGAAGAGCGTCGAACGGCCCGTGTCGCGGACTGAAACAAAGACAGAAAGAAAGCATGCGTACAATCAAAAGAGCCGAGAAACTCGCAAAAACGCTGGGGCACTAAAGAGCCGCTTTTATTTTACAACTGGGAGAAGCAGCAGCTAAACCTCGATTAAACTTTCTCTTACTACGCGTGAATACTCTTCGAGGATGGGAAAAGGGGGTGGGGGGGAGGGGGGGAGGGATGGGTGGCCAAGTAGGCTAGCGCACGCTTAGCGCACACCAGCTCTGAGCATCTAGATTCTAGAGCGATAGCTCGCGCTGCAGAACCCAGGGACCCCTGCCCCGTTTCCATATGGATGAGCATCGTATCGGCGTGCGGTAATGCATCGCTACTGCGTGTTTCACGTTAAAAGAAAAAAAAGAAAATTGTTCATCTACGGCTGAGTCACCTGACGCCCACTAAGGCTGACTACCTTCGGCTGTTTAAACGTATACATAACACGATTACAATTAGTTTATTTCAAGGAGGGTGTCTGGTGGCGCTCGTCCGAACGCCCCGGCTCTCAGGCTGACGCCCATTCCCTCATTGCAGAGATCTCGTTGGCCGAAGTGGAGGCGGGAGACCATAACAGCGGGACAAAAATACTTTTTTTTTTTTTTTTTTTTTTCCGTGGGTATAGAGTAGCGTAACGGCAAAGGAGTACACCCAAAGGGCAGTGGA